TTCAAGCATGTCTTACAGACATAAAGGCCTGGATGACCTGCAACTTCTTACTTCTAGACTCTGACAAAACTGAAGTTATTGTGCTTGGGCCTGAAAACCTTAGAAATCTGCTGTCTAATCATATAGTTACTTTAGATGACATAGCTCTTGCCTCCAGTACTACTGTGAGGAACCTTGGAGTCATCTTTGATCAGAATATGTCCTTTAAATCACATATAAGCCAAGTCTCTAGATCTGCCTTCTTTCACCTGCGCAATATTGCAAAAATCAGGAGCATCCTGTCTCAAAGTGATGCTGAAAAACTGGTCCATGCATTTGTTACTTCCAGGCTGGACTACTGTAACTCTTTACTATCAGGATGCCCCAACAGATCTCTAAAAAGCCTCCAGTTAATCCAAAATGCTGCAGCCAGAGTACTGACAGGAACTAGCAAGAGAGATCATATCTCTCCCATATTAGCTTCTCTCCACTGGCTCCCTGTAAAATTCAGAATAGAATTTAAAATCCTTCTCCTAACATACAAAGCCCTTAATGACAAGGCTCCATCGTATCTTAAAGACCCCGTAGAGCCTTATCATCCTAACAGATCACTTCGCTCTCAGAGTGCAGGTTTACTTGTGGTTCCTAGAATCCACAGAAGTAGAATGGGAGGCAGAGCCTTTAGCTATCAAGCTCCTCTCCTATGGAACCAACTCCCAGTCTCAGTTCGGGAGGCAGACCCCCTCTCTACCTTTAAGAGTAGACTTAAGACTTTCCTTTTTGATAAAGCTTATAGTTAGGGCTGGATCAGGTGACCCTGAGCCTTCCCTTAGTTATGCTGCTATAGGCCTAGGCTGCTGGGGGGGCCCATGATGCTCTGAGTTTCTCTCCTCTCCTCCCCTCCTGCTCTGTTCTCCTTTCCTCTCTCTCTATACTTCTATATGCCACCATTACACATTACTAACTTTATGTCTCCTCTCTCCCATAGTGTGTCCTCTCTCTCTCCCTGTACCTTTCTGCAGGTTGCCCTGGCCCTGGAGCTCTACATCTCTGACGAGCAGTCACCAGCCACATTGACCTGATCAGTGTTTGATTGTTGTGTCTTGTTGCTTTTCTTTTTTTGTCTCTCCTCTATCCACTCACCCCAACCGGTCGAGGCAGAAGGCCGCCCGCCAAGAGCCGGGGTCTGTCGGAGGTTTCTTCCATTAAAGGGAGTTTTTCCTCCCCACTGTCGCCAAGTGCTTGCTCAAGGGGGATTGGTTGGGTTTTCCCTATGTAATAATATTGATAACAGTAAGGTCTAGACCTTACTTTGTAAAGTGTCCTGAGATGAGTTTTGTTGTGATTTGGCGCTATACAAATAAAATTTGATTTGATTTGATTTGATTTACCTTACACTGAAATATGTGTCAGGTTTAACTGTGTCTGAGAGAACAACACTACATGGTTCCAGCAGCCCGTTCAGATCAATTTGGTGATCAGAATCAAAGGTTCAGATTCAGGTTTTCTTTTCCTCCACGTTTTTATTTGCCCAGCTCTGTTTGGCTCTCGGTTTGCATTAGTGTGCCACAACAGCATCCACTCAAAAGGAGAAGTGTTATATTGCTGCTCACAGTATTTTTATCCAGGACCAGAGGGGATAAGAGTAATGGTGTTAGGTTTGGAGTTATTTGTCCTGTAGTACTGTTTTCTCAATGTCCTCTGTCACAGCAGCAGTGTATGGCGCATGTGGTTTAATTGGCAGGTTATTTAAGACTGTTGTCCTATACTGCTGCTCCAGCTGTAGCATAATTATAGCCTGCTGTATCCCATCTAGCCTCTGCCCCCTCTTTCTTTCTCTCCATCTCTCATGCCACACGGCTACAGTTCATAGTCTCTCCACCCTTTCACAGGAAACAAATTTACTTGGTGAAACTTAAAATCATGAGCTCAACTGACTAAATGTACAATTGTTTAGTTAACTTAATTTATTTGACACAGTGTTATCTTATTTGCATATATGTCCCAGCATGCATTTCATCAGCATTAAAATTCAAATAAAGTCATTCTGTTTTTCATTATACATGTGTCTCAGAGGAGCCAGATCTGTCTGATCAAGATGAAAACACTGAAAGGTCTTCATGTCAGACATGTGGTACACTATTCTTACGCCTTGGGGGTCATTTTTAGGACTAATGATCATAGACTTATCTTAACTGCTATCAATACAGCAAAAGCTGCCATGACTCATATTGTTTCCGGTTGAGTTACTAAACAATCCAAATTCATTTGCAAACCAAGAGTTTTGAATAGGCACAGCTGGCAGATTTGAGTTACTGTAACTGTGTAAATTGACAGAATCAAAAATTTCGAGTTGTGATAATGTAAAATAATATTTTACTCTAACTCGGAGTATGTTAACAGAAATAAAAATTCTATGTTGGGCAAACTCAAAACCTAAACTTAAAATATATTTGTCAAACTCAAAAATTTACACGTTTGTTGCCTTGAAACTCTGAGTTTTCTCAACTTTTCTTTTTTTTAACAGTGTAGTCTTTATCACTTTATCATCCATCAAAAGTCACGAGTAAATGCACATAAACTGAACTTTTATCTATAAAACTGAAATCCTGTTTCTTCCTTCTGTCATCTTTCCTTTCACCACCCTCCTTGTTCCTGTCACTCTGTCTGCCAGAGCCTGGCGGTCCCTCCTTCACCATCGGGAAGGCCATCTGGCTGCTTTGGGGTCTGGTTTTCAACAACTCTGTCCCTGTACAGAATCCCAAAGGTACCACCAGTAAGATCATGGTGTCAGTTTGGGCCTTCTTCGCTGTCATCTTCCTGGCCTCCTACACTGCCAACCTGGCTGCCTTCATGATCCAGGAGGAGTATGTCGACCAGGTGTCAGGCCTGTCAGACAAAAAGGTATGAATTCAAGGCAGTATGAGGGGTTTTGTTGTGGAACAGCAGGTGTGTGAAAGTTTGCAATGTGAGGCTGATTATGGACTGCTTCTAGTGTTTGTGTGAGTGTTTATGACAGAGGCTGCAACTACTGATTATTTTTGTTTGATTTTCATTCATTTTATTTCATTGAACCTGTATTTACACAGGCTGGCTGAACATTTACTGAATGTTCTTTTACAGCAGCACCCTGTTCAACAAAATGTCACAACCAAATAGTACTTTAGTTCAGTGATTCCCTACCTATTTTGCCTAACATGCTCTCCAATGGCACTATTAGGGGATCTCAAGTGTACAGGACACTGATTGACTGCCTATTATATTTCAAATGTGTTCCTTTCATTTGATTAGAAGGAAATTCAAAGCATTATTTCACACTCTTAATTGTGTATAATGTTAGAACATTTGGTCACAAAATAGGAATAGTTTTTCTGTGCCCACAGTCACATGTGGTTTTCTGGTGGAGGATAGTCTTGTTGGCAGTTTGTAGATGATGTAATTGGTTATGTGACAATAAATATAGTAAAGATTAGCCTCATGTGAGCTTGTTATGCTCCTTGTCGGTTTGTTTTCCTCTTAAACATAAAGATGTGGCTTTATTTTTAAGGAACTGTTACTATTATTTGTTTGTTTTGTCAGATTGTCTGAGCTATTTCAGTCTTTTAGGGTATAACTACTGATTAAGTTTGTAAACAGGTCTATTCTGTCTAACCCACCAGTTCGAACTCCGAAGATACTCAATTTGCTAAGATATAAAAGAAAGGAAAGCAGCAAATCCTGTCCCCTGAGGATTTAGTTTAATCACTTGGATAAATAATTAAATTGCTATTATGGATTGGCTAAGCTCTTTGTACAAGATTGTGCCCCACAAAAAAATCTTGGTCTTCAGTTTGATTAATCAGTTAATTTAGAGCTGAAACAATCAGTTGATTAATCAATAAGTTGGCAAAGAGAAGCTTTTATTTTGGTACTTGCTCATTCCAAAAAGTCAAATGAACTTGGTTCCAGCTTCATTTAATTTGTTACTTTTCTTTGTCTCATGTGACCATAAACTGAACATCTTTTGTTTTTTTGGACATTTTACAAAACAAATATTAATCAGTTAATTGAGAAATAAAGTTGATTATATAGTAATAAAAATGATCATACGTTGGTGGCCCAGGCTAATTGTTTCAGGACTTTCATGGGTCTTTAATCTGAGCTGGATCCAGGGCACAGTGCATTTGTTTAAACGTGTCCTCGACGTTCCCCTGTGTTTATGTTCTTCTACTGAGCACAGCTCTAAGTGTTTACTTAATTTTGAGCTCTGGTGTCCTCTGGTCCTGTTCAACTGTGCATTAAAGACTTTCTGATGTGGCTCGGTGCCTTTGCCATGCTAATGAGCACTCCTCTGTTATTTTCTCTGTCTGATTTCGTAACCGGAAAACCCAACCACAGTTCCAGAAGCCAAACGAATTTTCGCCACCATTCCGGTTCGGCACGGTGCCCAACGGGAGTACAGAGCGCAACATCCGCAACAACTACCGGGACATGCATACCTACATGACCAGCTTCCACCAGAAGAATGTAGATGAGGCGCTGTATAGTCTGAAGAACGGGTGAGGAGGAGAGGGATGGGAGGAAAGGGGAGGACCTTGTTTATTTCTAACATTTTATTCAAAAGCAACCAAGTTCAACAATAAACATAAATGTTACCATTTGATGTATTGTACCAGAGTTGGCTTAAAGCTAATTTACATCTGCAGTCCCTTGGCAAGTAAACAGAAGGACAAGACATCAAAACAGTAAGAGGAAAGCATACAGTCCTCTTTTACAGTACTCTCTTCTCTCTTAGAGAAGACATTTTTAACAATTTCATAGAGAAATCTGAGCAAAAGCAAACAAAGTCATGCAATGGAGGAGGAGCCAATCCATTTAAAAGTCTATACACAAGACATAAATTTGAAATACATATACATACAATCTAAAAATTTCCAAGCTCAAGATAGAATAGTCCTCCTGTCTCCTATAGGGATGATGTTGAATTGAGCTTTTGTCAAAAAAATTTAAAGTTTGGTTAAAGAAGGTTTAGTAAGCGTTTGTCCAGCCTGCTCCCAAGATGAAATACAATAGGACATGAAGGAAAGGATCATAGCATGATGAAAAAAGAGCTGTGAGGTCCTGTACTGATGCAATACAGAGAAAAGATGATGAAGGAGCGAGGAGTTGCAGACAGAGGAAGACTCTAGGCAGTGTGGGTTGGCAGCCAGTGGGGTTGTGTGTCTGCCTGCCACTGGCACCCAGAATAGCAGCGCAGCCTGTGGTTGCTGTGAAACCTAGCTAATATTGTCCATTCTTCTACACTCTTTATCTCTCCAATGTTTTTATCAGCTTTTGCTAAAGTAGTAAGAATGCACAGCAGTGATGTACTTCTGGTGTTTGGTGAGAGTTTGAGCTGAAGCCTGGAGAGCCCCAAGGCACTGTGTGATTGTAGTTTGTCACCAAGCTGGAAACTGTCATGTCAGTTTATGTATCAACTCACTCAGGGTTAATATAGATAGAAAAAAAAGGGCTAGAATATAATGAAATAGAATACATGGTGTCTCCCAGAAAGCTGTTCAGTTGATGTAGTATACCCAGACTGACTGTGCCCGGACACGCAGGCGGTTTATGTTATCAGGCCTAAACAACAGTCACACGTGAAGATTCATTCTTGACCTTGAAAACAGCAGCTTCACAAAAACTACTCAGCACAAGGTCCAACTTATTTGTTATTTATGAGACTTTCAGCCACATCTGAAAACCTTCCTCAGCTGAGGGGTAATCACAAACTGGGAGAAGCTGGAGCTTGTATTGAGAATTGTCATTAAATATATCGTATTTGCTGGGTAGTTTTAATGTTTATTCATGTTAACAAAGGTTGTCTTTGTTATAGGCAAGCTGCCCCACGTTCCCTATACAGTACTGTGGGAAACCCAGGAAGAGAACAGACTAAAACAGAATAAAACAGTCAGTGATTATGTCCAAAAATAAAAAATCATTTCCATCAGTTTCCTTGAAAGCACTATGTGATTTGCCATGAATTACAGCTAAAACACAGAGAGACTGTTCAATTGAAACAATTTAATTAACTCTGAATACAGTAAATGCTTAACTGGCGTATCCTACAGTGTTTTAATCAGTGCACAGCAGGTCAGCTGAATGAGCAAAAATGTGCTGCACGGACAAGCTTACAATTCAACATGAATAGAGAACAGTTTCTGACAGTCAATCAATGTTAAAATAATATTTTTGTCAGTCTGTCACTGCATTACGCCATGCTTTCACTGACCCAAACAAATTCACATTTGCATCTGAGAACCTCTAGCTAACTCTATTGATCCCGGACAATATTTAACTCTTCAGCGGGGGAGTTTTTCAAATAATAATTGACCACAGTTTTTGAAATTTAAAGCACTAATACCAACTGCTGGAACTTTTACCATGGTTCACCATGACGCCAGTAACCGTTTCATCCCTATTCTTAACAGGGAAATTGCTCTGAAAATCAGCTGTAGCATACTATATATATCTATCTTCAAATTTAACACACCAGATAAACTAATGAAGATTTACAGGAGTTACAGGGAAAACAAACCCATAAAAATGAAGTGTTTTATTCTGCTGGTAATAGGTATGTAAATTAAGGTGGGGATGCACTACACATGTGCGTGATGACACAAATTATGTCCCTTCATAAATGTCACCAGATTATTTATTATAAACTAATAAGTAGACGCTGATTGAATGAGGAAGTAATTTTGGACTTATTCTTTCACTGTCACTCTATAATTGGTGGTTCAAGAGGCCATGGCACCATGTCAAGTGTTTCTCTAATACAATTTCCTTGCACTGTGCTCTGCAGCAAGCTGGATGCCTTTATCTATGATGCTGCAGTGCTGAACTACATGGCTGGCAGAGACGAGGGCTGTAAGCTGGTCACCATCGGGAGCGGCAAGGTGTTCGCCTCCACTGGCTACGGCATCGCCATACAGAAGGACTCGGGCTGGAAACGCGCTGTGGATCTGGGCATCCTTATGCTGTTTGGTGACGGTAAGGACTTTTAGTTGAATGGAGAAGCTTTGTATACATATCCCAGAGCCAAATACTTGGGTTTTTGAAGCAGTAACGATGACATTTTGCTTTTTTTTTTAAACTGCTGATATGACAACATTAATCCAACCCATTAAATTACAGATGCTTTTACATAGTATATGCAGTGGTGAAAGAAGTATTCAGTTCCCTTTCTTAAGTAAAAGTAGCAATACCACAGTGTAAAAATACTTTGTTACAAATAAAAGTCCTGCATTCAAAATGTTACAGAGGTCTAAATATCAGTCTAATGTTGCAACAACAAGATTACTGAACAACCATATAGATTCAGTATTTTTAAGGTCTTGCTGTCCTAAGGTCATTTAAGTATCTGTATCTTGTGGTGATTTACCAATAACCTGCTGGAGTATTTAATCAGCAGGCCTGGAAGGATTCAGTTGCTGTAGTCACTGCAGTGAACGTTTGTTTGTGATGTTCTGGGAGCACATTGTAAATGCTTTATCAGCAGGTACAGGGAAATATTGACCTTAATTGTAGCTAGGTAGAAGGAGCTCTGTGGATGAGATTAGACCTGAAATGTTGAAGCCTCTGGATTATGTTGGACAAGTGTGATTGACATATTTCTTAAGCGTTGGTGGATTTCAGGAACAAGGCCCATGGGCTGGCAGACTGGGTCGGTGGACTACTCAGTTCAACAGGGAAACCCTAAACATACTGTATTTTGGTTTGCTCTGGCTACTTCAGTACTGGAGCTTCTCAGCAAAGATGTCTTTCACATTTGTCAGTGACAGGATTTGGGAGCTTCGTGATATGAAGCATATGCTCACGTTTACTGTCTCTGTCAGTTTGTTTTTAATCTGTATGCACAAATTACCGGACCTGTTTGGCATGCTGAAAAGTAAAACCCGTTCCTAGTTTGAACTAATGTAGAGTATTAAGCTGGTCTTTCCCACAGCTTCTAAGCCACCTATGAAGATGCAAACATAAAAGTCTACAATTTAGAAAAGTACATGAATATTTTAAAGCCTTTTCCACCTTCGTTGGCTGATAAGTTATGTGCAGGCTGTACAGGAGTGGCCTAATGTGAGTGTTCACGATGAGCACGTTTGTCATTGGATAAACGACTTTGTTTTACCGCTGTGTCACAAGCTTATTAATTCAGCAGTATGGTGGCACTACTACACCAGACCATATCAACTGAGTATTTACATAAAAAAGAGGTTGAATTATGAGTCTGTGTTCCATTGCATCACAGAAACACTGATGACAATACGTGTACAAAGAAATACTGGTTGCACCATGGAGCAGTTCTCTGAATTTTTAGCTTGGGTTTTGTTTGGGGCCCCAGCTGCTGTTGTGTGTTTTGGGTAGTGACCGAAAGAAGCTAGCATGGTGTCTGGCTTCACTGTGAGAGGATGAGGAGTGCAGTGATCCATGAGGGCCTTTGCACTGAGCTGCTGCCTCTTTATGATGAGAAGATTGAGCCAGTTGAGGTGGTTTAGGCATGTGGGTAGATGTACACTTGGCACCTTCATTTGAAAGAGGTCTGTTCACAGATGACTAGAGGATGAAGGCAGACATACAAAATATTCAAACATTATAGAATGGAATATCAATAACAATGAGTGTATGGGCCTTTGTTACAATTGGTTGGCTTTCACTATAGTTTAATAAGTCAGACATTTGTGTTTTTAATTAATGGCTTCATTCCTCTATGGCTAAAGCAAATAAAATATATTTAAGGGACAGAATTTATAATGATTTGACATTTTTGTGATATTGACCAGGAGAGTACTCACTTCTATTGTACACTGTACTTGTTTTTCCCAAAGCTTTCTTCAAAACTGTTTTTGTCATTCTACATATTATTACCTTTTATCATGTAACCAAAATCCCATATTTGCATCACATGATAACAACTAGACACCACCTTGACAAATGTGCAAACCCTGTTCATTGAGTAAGGCCACCAGATGTGTTTGAAAGTTTCAGAAAAACTAAGTGGACTTCATAAGGATTTTTGTCAAAAGGTCAAAAATGAACCTTCAAGCACAAAACATTTAAATGTAATGCAAATCTGTTATGTAGGAACACAGAGTGAAAAATCTACATCAGATCAAAATGTCTTCGTCTCTTCACTGACCCCTGTCACTGTTGTCTCATCTCAGCCTTCAACTGTTTCAGCCATTTTAGCATTTTCAGGGCTATTCTTCATCACTCAGCATCCACACATATTTTCTTCAGGAAATGCATTTGTCTAGTTGGTCTGTGAGAACACTGAATGATGACGATGAATTTGTGAACGCAAAGAAGAAAACACATGAATTCCATTTTGACTGTTCTCACAGTGGTCGCATGGTCAAAGTGCAAATATAAATTGGCTCTAGGACCACATATGGACGTGGCCCATATCTGATTTGGACCAAATCTGATTGTTTGTTCACACATACTGTACCTGAAAAAGGATCAGATGAGACCAGATCAGATTCAACTCATTTGGATGGGAAAAATGGATTTGAGCCGCTTGAGTCTGTAGTGTGAACCTAGCCTACTGTAAGTTTCTGCTGCCCTATTGACACCATGTTCCTGATGCTAGACAACTGACGGTGAATGTCCTCTGGCATATGCAGTATGTTGTTCACTCTCAGTTAACAAGTACTGGCATTGCTGTATCCTGCCTATGATGAAGGTGACATAGAAAACAAAATAAAAGAAGTTAGAATGTATCACCAGTCTTGGTTTTAGCAGAACTTTTACATTTTGTATCGCTGAGTCGCCACAGTGTGACTGTGTAAATAGTTTCAGTTCTCACATAGTAATACCAGAGGCACACACACAGACATACACACTAGATTACCTTCAGTGTGTTATCACTTTCCATCCTGGTGTGTGTGATGGATGAAGGGGTGGTTAGAGAGAGAACATTCACCTTGGATCAGTTGTTAAGGAGACAGATCGGCTCAGACCTTGACACACACTGTTGGAAACCTCTCAAGTGTGTGCCAGCCTGTGTGCATGTATGTGTTCATGCATGCATGATATGCTTGTGTGTGCGCATTGGTTGTGTTTGTGGCATGTGGCTGTGTGCATGCTTCACCAAAGATCCTACAATACATCTGCACAAATTTACCAGATGGAAGCAGCAACTTATTGTTCTGTCACCTGTGTGCATGAGGCCAGCACATCACACATTACTTCTCATTACTTCACTTGGACTCTAGCGCTGTCAGCACACATACATTAGTTCAGGTAAAGACTCAGACTCATGGATGTGAACATGATGTAAGTTACTGTATATGTGCAGGAGGAAAGAATCAGTGATGGCCTACTAACAAGCCACTGAGTGCCACTACAGTACATCTGAACAGATCAGGATCAGGAGAAAAGAGGGGGGAGGGATGAAAAGCATAATGGATAAGAATGGAGACAAGAACAGAAGGCAGAAAATTAAATTATAATAATATTAATTCTAATTCCATTGGAGATTTTGAGGATTGATCTAATTCTTAATCAGTTCCTTCCACATTGTTGCTCAAAAACAATGCATGTACAGATTTAATGGCAGTGAATATGCATTCTTATGTGTCTAATGGCCTAATGTCACTGTCACTGAAATCTACCAAACTGATAAGAAGAGTAAATAGTGCAAGAGCTAAACACTTTGAAACTAGTTTTGAATGTGAACTGATTTACAGTACAGATCCTATCCCTGGTTCTGAAGATGCTGAATGGGGTATCTGGCCTTTTTGTGACTGTTTATTTCTTGTTAATTTTTTCAAAATTTGGTAATATTTTTGCCTTCAGTCTTATTTTTGCATTTAATAATGTAAAAAGTCTAATGATTTTTGATGGAAATTATTTAAATGATAGTATAGCTGGAGATGGTGCACAGAGGTGCCATGTGGATGACTAGACCGTGTGTCAGCTGTACAGCTGTCTGGTTTAAACAAAGCAGATATAAAGCTCCAACTAACATGTTACAACCAACAAAAGGCGCTATTAGGCAGATTTTTAACTCTTTAAATTTTTTAACAGAGCTACTCTAACTGTTTCCCCCTGCTTCCAGGCTTTATGCTAAGCTAGGCTAATTGTCTGCTGGCTCCAGCTCTGTAACTAATGTACAAAGCCAAAGGTGATATCAATGTTCTCTTCTAAATCTGAGAAAAAAATGAATAGTGTATTTCAAAAAATGTTGAATTATTACTTTCACAAACAAAAGACACCCCAGACTATTTTACTTTCCCATTTGCATTCCGATTTTATGTTTTTGTTCTCTTACTAGCTTTCTTTTTAATGCTAATCAGCATGATAACACCTGACAACCATTCAGACTGTCACATACACTGCTCTTTCTTTTCTCCCATGGAGGTTCATTTAGGTAAAAAGGTCCCAGTGAAAACTGCCTAACAGCTGTCCGAGACAACCAAACACTCATCTGCACAAACATCCATACACAAAACATTGTTACACAAGCTCTGGGAAAATATATACCCCCCGATTTAACACGGACAGAAAAACTGGCCATCAGTGCAGATCAAACAAATCTCTCTGGACATCTCTCCCCTTTAGCAGTCCCCTGGGGACGTGGAACAGAGGGAGATGCATTTTAGGACGGAAATGCTCATCACATGATCACACACACTTCCTCCCTGAGGAATGTCAAGTCCCAGGGAGGGTTAGCATAGCATAAGCCATTAATGAAAATGATCCTCGGGGGGGCATGTGGTCAAAATAATGCAACATGACATTTGTTGAGCATACATGAGACATGAGCTCTTTTTGGCATCAACTCCCCATTCAAAAATATGCATCCTCTCATTTTGTAATCACACTTACATGTTCAGGCACCGACAAGCAAACCCGTCCACCCATGCAGGTCATACAAACACCGACACATGGATACAGTAACCTGCGAATATGTGTTTGTCCTTCCTTCAGGTGAAATGGAGGAGTTGGAGGCCCTGTGGCTGACGGGCATCTGCCACAATGAGAAGAACGAGGTGATGAGCAGTCAGCTGGACGTGGACAACATGGCAGGGGTCTTCTACATGCTCGGGGCTGCCATGGTTTTGTCACTCATCACCTTCATCTGTGAACATTTGTTCTACTGGCAGCTGCGCTTCTGCTTCATGGGCGTGTGCTCCGGAAAGCCCGGGGTCACCTTCTCTATTAGCAGAGTGAGTGTGATTTTGTTTTATTTTAAGGCTGACCTTTGTCGTTCTGAGATAAAAATCACAGGGGTGGTTACAGTTGTTAAACAACAATATATTAGCCAAGAGCATCCATTCTTCTCTATCCAAAAAATTCAATATCTCAGTGCAGTTTGACATTTCTTATTGTTGTAACGCTTATTCACTGGAGCACAGTATTATAACATAATGATATCAGCAGTACAAAAAATAATTTATCCCTATCTTTCCCAGTCCAAAACCAGCATTTTTATTCTGCTTCTATTTACATTCCTTTCATAGTTTGCTTGATGTGAGTAATTGTAGATTTATGATGACGCATGGGCTCACGGACAGCTGAAGGGCTTTGGCACAGCACCTCATACAGCACATATGCACACTACATTCAAGGTGTCAGTTTCAGTCTGACTGTCAACATGTGTAAAATCTTAGTTAATGCACCTTTAAGAGCCATTTAAAGCTCTTACATATGTGTTTGACTTTAAACTTGTTGGATTTAAATGTGGGCACATTTAAAGAGTGGCTTCTATTGCTCGGTGGTTCTGCAGCCAGATTTAACACTGGTTTAACACTCAAGTAAGCTGCAGTGCACGAAAAATATTGAAGACAGTGCATCATTCAAGAAAACTGCAGTTCATTTACAGCATGTGGAATGTGTAAGAATGAACAAATGATGAGACTACAAATGGTTAATAAGATACAGAGAAATAAAAAGAAATCAGTTAGCAAGAGTCACGATAAAGAATAAAACCAACAGCAAGACAAAGGCAGAGTACAAAAGAATAGAAGCAGTGATGTGCCAGTAACCTCTGTTCTGTTACATTTCACAGCAGCTGTAGCAGCTATAGAGGTAGAGAGATAAAGACAGAGAAACCCGTTGGCCGCTCACCTGAGCGCTCTGACACGAAGATAAAGCAGACAAAAGAGAGAATGGACACACAAAAGAACGAGGACTGGTGATTCAGATTCGTGAATGTAGGTCGGCAGTGGGGAAAGTGACTAAGAGATAGACACAAAATGTTTCTGACAAGCTGACACCTTTGAGGAATGTTGGCCCGCACGCTGACCAGTGGGTAGTGTGTCGTTGACCTTTCGGTTTTGCTTGTCACCTTGACCACAGATTCCTTCAGCCCCTATTTAAGCACGCTTGTTGACTTTATTCGCAAAGATGCCTTCTGAATGAAAATTCAGCTTTTACCAACCAACCAAAGCAAACACATACATACTAATAGATGATGATGTTTTCAATTGATTGTTAATGCTTGTGTCTCTAATATCAAAAGAAAGTCCAACAAACTTTTACAAAACGGTTCACTCCTGTGACAGTTTTTAAAGACACTTGTGATGGAGCAAGCCAGAGACACCAGTGTCAGCTGACTTTAAATGACACTGATTATACCTATCGATTGATGGTCAGATCCATAAACTTACTGCACCCCTTTTGTTATCAATCAAGGCTTTGAGCTGCTCATTCCCCGCTCCCTCAGTTCTCTGCCCCTGAGGTGGAATACTGAGCAGCAGCTGTGAGGGTCCATGATGTTCCCCTGACAAAAGTCATTTATGAACTCAGCCTCAGTTTCTGCTTAATAGTGTGTAAACAACAGGGTGGTCAGAGAGAACATGGCAATGCATTAACCTCTCTCTGCCTCTGTCTGGCTCTGTTTGCCCTTTTACCTCTCTCACTGTTTTTCTGTCTAAGTGTGCAGAGTTAGACTCCATCTCTCTGACATCATTCCCCTCTGGTCCTTGACTCCTACTTGTCATTGGATAAATCTGAATTCCTTTAATTGCATCCGCATTTCCCTCATTTGTGTCTTTTCCTTGCATCTTAGTCCCACATACATAAGACGAGAGGAAAAAAATGCAAGGAAAGATGTGAGGAAACATTTGTACAGAAATGAGACATCCTTTCCTCTGATCCTTCATCTGAAGCATCCAGTCACCAACTGATTTTCAATAAAGGGGCATGTCGGTCCATAAAAGAGTTCTATGAAGGATGGTCTCTTGTATCCTGACTCATGTTTCCTCCTGGCAGCTTCCACACTCCCTCTGTGCTCGCTTCTCATGGCACGGACATCCTTCAAGAGGCTTCAAGGCCGCCAACGAGGTTTTCCTCTCAATTCTTTCCACCATGTTCATCTGTAATACTCTGCGTCAAAATAGCTCAGCAGGGAGAGTGTTAGATTGAACATCTAAAGGTTCCTGGTTTGATCCTGGGTTTTGGCAGTGGCGCACCTTTTAGCAGTGACTGTGGTTCTGGGGTAGAGCGGTTGTCTCCCAACCAAAAGGTTGGAGGTTTGAATCACGGTGTCTGCAGTCCACATGTCGAAGTGTCCATGGGCAAGACGCTGAACCCCAACTTGGCTAAAGCCATCAGTGTGAGTTGGTGCCACAGATGGCTGCCTTGGTTCTGTACTGGAAACAAATTCCTTGTATGTGCAACATACAGGCCCAAACAAAGTGATTATCATAAAAAAATTTAAAAAAAAAAAGATGGTGGACTGGGTCAAATGAGGATTGAGAAGCAAAAAAGTCAAATAAGGCAATTGGGATTACTCCCTGACAATTTCCCAGTGCCACACATTGTTGTTTTCCTCTTACCTGGGCCTCATACTTTACCACTCTCACTCTTCTTCTTTCTTCCTCCCATGGCCTGTCTCACCTTCTCTTTCTCTTTCTCTTTCTGCCTCCCTTTTCTTATAATGTTCACACTCTAGGGTATCTACAGTTGCATCCATGGGGTACAAATTGAGGAAAACAAGTCAACCGCAGATTCACCTTCATCCACCATTAAGAAGAACATGAACAACACCCACTCCAACATCCTGCGGTTGCTCCGCACTGCCAAGGACATGACCGCCGTCCCAGGCATTAATGGCTCTCCACATGCTGCCCTGGAATACAGCCACAGTAGTCGTGAGTCGGCTATTTATGATATCCAGGAGCACCGGCGCAGCCTGGTGGGTCACCCCAGAGACTGCAAGTCGGCACCGCCCTACCTGCCAGAGGACAACATGTTCAGTGACTACATCAGCGAGGTGGAGAGGACTTTTGGTAACTTGCCCCTGAAGGACAGCAACCTGTACCAGGACCATTACCTGCACCACCACCCGGCTCTGGGTATGTCCGGCCCCCCGCCTAATAGGCCGCGTAGCTTAGGCAGTGCTAGCTCATTGGAGGGGGGCATGTTCGACTGTGACAGTTTAGGGGGAGGGGTAGCACCCATCTTCACCACCCAGCCCCGCCCCTCCATGACTCACAGGAATACCAGTAAATTTGACCTGATTGCTGGCCACACCCCTACGGAGTCCAACCAGGGTGGGTTCAAGGGAAGCAATGTGTATGGCAGGTTTTCTTTCAAAGGAGGCGCATCCAGCACGGGGCTCATCGGGGGTCATGACAGGTACTGTGGTGGGGGTGGGGGAGGCTCCGGGGGTGACGATGGGAACATTCGCTCTGATGTCTCAGATATCTCCACGCATACTGTCACCTACGGAAACCTGGAGGGCAACAACAAGCGGTGTAAGCAGTACAGGGACAGCCTGAAAAAGAGGCCAGCCTCAGCCAAGTGCAGACGGGAGCAGGACGAGATAGAGCTGAGCGGCTTCAGGAGGAGACCCCACCACCACACCGTCCACCACCACTTCCCTCACGGGCCCCTGGCGCACCGCACGGTCTCACCTCCCCTGGAGCGGAAGAGGGGAGGAGGAGGAGGGGGTAATTCTTCACCTTACTTATTCCGCAAAGACAAAGAGAACCTGAGGGATTTCTATGCGGACCAGTTCCGTTCCATGGAGGGCAAGGCCAAATGGGAAAAAGAGGGTGGAAGTGGAGGAAGCGGTGTGGGCAGTGGTAGTGGTGGTGGTATCTGTAAAAGCTTAGTACCTGTGGAAGACTTCCTCAAAGGTAAAGTCATGAAGCCTGAATGTAAAGGTGTGCTGGGCTCAGGGCAGCAGGCCCACACCTGCTGGGAGAAAGGGGTATCTGGGCTGGGAGGGGGGGGCATACCAGGTGGGGACTGGGAGTGTCGTAACTGCCGCAGTGTGTGTCACCACAGTGGAAGTGTAGAAGGAGGTGGCACATGCCCAGCTAGCGGAGCAGGGGGGACTAGCAGTCGCCCCAGCTCTGCTACCTGCAAACGCTGTGACTCCTGTAAAATCCAGCCAAGCAACCTGTACAACATCAGCGAGGATAATAACATGGTGTTGACTGGCGGGAAGAGTAGTGTAGGACCCAGTCAAACACAAACTCAGGCACAGCGCAGGAAGCTGGGGCCAGGTGGGAGGGTGTTATGTAGGCAACATTCGTATGACACATTTGTGGATCTGCAGAGGGAGGGATCAGGCCGCATGGGAGGGGTTGGCGGTGGCACTGGGGGGCAGTTTGTCCAGCCCCGAAGTGTGAGCTTGAAAGACAAAGACCGCTTCATGGAGGGCCCCAGCCCTTATGCTCACATGTTTGAGAGGTATTCAGGTGAAAGGGAGTCTCCCATGTTTGGAGGAATAGGCGGGGACAGGGCAAAAGCTGGCTCCTCTTTCAGTTTGTTCCGTGGAGGTGAAGGTGGGTTGCATCGGCGATCGGTGGGCGAGAGAGACTTGAGGGACAGAGATAAAGCTATGATGGGAGGTGGGGGCTGTGGTGGTGGTGGTGGTGGTGGTGGTGGTAGCAGAGGGGCTGGGACTTACTCCTTGTCTAAATCTCTCTACCCAGATAAGGTGAACCAGAACCCCTTCATCCCAACCTTCGGTGATGACCAGTGTCTATTACACGGTGCCAAACCGTACTACATCAAAAAGCCACAGATGCCACAACAGCAGCAGCAGCAACTTCTCAACAACAACCGAGGAGGAGGGGACTTCCGCAGCTCCATGGGAGCGACTTCCTATTTGCCTGCATCCGCCACAACTGGGGTGATGTCCAATGTGGGCCCCAGGTACCCCAGTGAGCTGTGCCTGGGTGGGGTGGGGGTGCCCATGGGGAACCACCACGGGGTCAGCAAGCTACTGCCTGGTGGCAGGGACACGTTAGGTTTGGGGCAGGGACAGAGACCCTTCAACGGTGCCAGCAATGGACACGTTTATGAAAAGCTCTCCAGCATTGAGTCAGATGTTTGAGGTTGAAGATGGAGGAAGAAATAAAGAGAAGATAGAAGTGGGTGAAGAAAAGAGAACGATGGAGAGGAACGTACAGAAGACAAAAGAGGAACAGCACAGGCCAGTGACCTCTGTGTGTGAAGAGAATGAGGAGCCACGAAACTGTGGGTACTGTTCTCCCTCCACCAAATCAAAAGAATTATGATGATGCACAGAGTCCACTGCAGGATGAGCTGTGGTGAAGTCTGGCGGTAGACGACTTTTTTAATGAGAAGAGAGGATTCTTGTGCTGCTCTGATGCTCAGAGAAAGATAGTGGGGGTGGGGGCGTGGGGTGAAATCAAATCTCCAGTCTTTGCTCTCTTCACACGGTCATTGTCTTTTCCTCCCTCCTGCAGTTCCTTTAACACCAAAACAAGCATTTCGTTTAGCAACAGAAATACAATCACGAATGAGAAGTCAGCACTTCTGTAACAGGGTAATCTAATAATAATTGTTGATAATGTTAATATTATTGAACATTATTCTAGTGTTTTATGCTGATTGGTTTGGATTGTTTTTAAATTTTATTTCTTGAAATTGTTCATGTTACATATTTGTATGATGTTAATTCGTATCTTCCCCATATTACAGGAGACTGGTACACCAGTTGTCAATATGGATCTTTTTTTGGGTTCCTGTAATTTGGACTCTTCTTTGCTATTAATTCTCTGTTTGATTTTTTTAATTTAACTTTTCTATTTTTGAGTGCTGTGAAGTGTATGTGAAAGGCATGACTTGCGGAGTACATTTTTTGTACTTATAAATTTGCAAAGAAGGTTTTTTTTTTCAGCTGCAGAAGAAATATCATCATACTGATTTGCCATTTCCTCTGGTTTTCTCTGCTCAGCAGTAACAAACAGGTCTCACATTTTGAGCTGGATGTGCCTTAAAGGATTAATACTGATTTTCACAAGAGGAGACGAGATCTCTTCTGTTGGTAGACGGATCCACCTGTGAACAATTAGTCAGCTGATTTGAATGAAAATACATCCGAAGACATCTGTTGTGAGAATAGTGTTTTATGAGCATAACAGGCTTTTCGGCATTTAACAGATGTTATGATACAACGTAAAACGTAAATTGTTGCAGTAGAGAAAGCATGCTGTAAATTCTTCTACAACCCCCCCCCCCAAGCAGTTAAAGATCCCTGTAGCAGTATTACAAGGGTTAAAACCACAGTGCCATGATAAATATACATTCCTATTCCTCCAAAACTCAAGTATGACATAGCCTTGCTTGCTGCTGTATGTGAAAAAAACATGCTTTAGAAGTAAAATATAAAAAAATTCACACTTAATCAAACTACAAGTCAGTTTCGTTTAAATCATGTACTGAAAAGCTCAACAAGCTTCAACACTGCTCACCCAGAATCCAACTACCCGTTAAATATGTGTTTTATTGGGCGTGACTCAACTGGCCGTGACAGTTCTGCCGTTGAGGACAGGAACATAATGGACTCTGAGTGAGACTTCTTTGCTGGGATGAGCAGCCTGGTATGTTAATTATCTCATCATTACAGCTACAAGCCCTGCCGGCTGTATTGGATGGCCACATGTGAGTGATGGGAGAAGTGTTTAACATTTTTATTCTGCTGGTTTAGTGGGAAACCGCAGCAGGCTCGTAATTTCAGCCAGTCTTGTACCCCATCCTAGATAATCATCCCTTAGTCTTGGAATTACAATCATCATTTACATTGCTCACCTTTATTAGCCATCATGTATAGAAACAAGCGTTTACACCTTTGAAATGGGGTAGACAGTTAAAAATGTACACTAACACAATCTACCCATTTTATAGTGCTCCCACTGTTTATGTAAAGGAATAGTCCAACATTTTTGGAGATAAGCTTATGAGCTTTCTTGCCAAGATTAGATGAGAAGATCAATATCAGTCCTATGTCTGTTTCTTAATGATTAAGCTGCTTCCAGCAGCCAGTTAGCTTAGCTTAGCTTTGCATAAAGCCTGGAAATTGGTTTAAAAAAACCCCAGCTAGCCCGGCTTTATCCAAGTGTAACAAAATCGAACCAGCAGCACCTCTTAAGTTCACTAATTAACATGTTAGGTCTTGTTTGTTCAAGTGTGAAAATAGCATGTGGTTTCATGGAGGTTATTTACAGGCTTTTTTGTGACTGGAAATAGTCAGTAAAACCACAAACCACACATGTTTGCACATTTCTAGGAGTTTCAGGGGTGCTGGTTAGAAGACTCTGACCAGAGAGGCATGCTCCCTGTTTCCCCTTGTTTTCAGTCTTTGTACTAAGATAACCATCTCCTGACGTATTTATGGCACACATTTAAAAGTGGTATTAATCATCTCCACTTTTTGTCTGGTGGTGCTAACAGAAAAGCCTGGATAATAATCTATCCCTGTGTGCACTCCACCATCATTTCTCCCACTGTGTTGCTCAAACCTTTTTACCAAACAGAACATACAAAATAATTTCACTTTGTGCTGCAACCTTGATTTCTGCCTCCACCAGACCATAATCCATTTCACATCCTGAGATTTTGATTAAGAAAAAAAAGGTTTTCACGTCCAAGGTCCAGTGTGGATAGTGTCAGCTGCAGATAGAAATGGCAAACAAAAGTAAACGGCACCCTAAAAGTTATTGATGTACTCTAGCAGTTATTTTGATCAAATGTGGCTCCCCGGTCTGCAACATCAGATCCACAGGCCATCTCTGCCCACAAATGTTATTTTTGCAATTCACAGCCCTCTCTATCATTGAAATATCACTAAGACACCTTTTCTCCATTTTCAGTTACCTATTGTAATTTTTACTTGACTTCAGACCTTATTGCCAAGCCAAATTTTAATATGTAAGCACAACCTGACTGAATGGATTTAATATTTAGTTTGTTGTACATTCCAGTCAAAACTCCAGAAGACTTTCCTTCTCTTGGTTGACAAGTCAGTATGTATGATACCAGGGGCTCTCTAGTGTTTGTAAGGACTTTGCATGTATACTCTTAATTTTTTTCTTCATTTCTGTTTTCTAATCTTAACTTTTAGCCCAAACATTGGGTGTTATTGAACATTATTAGGAGTTTTATCAGTTTCATTGGTACTGATGATCCATGTGGTACTGTAGGTGTGTGCGTGTGTGTGTGTTTGTTTGTGCAAGAGAAGACACCAATCTAACAGTCTAAATTTCGGTTCTATTCAGATAAGTAAGGGTAAATTGATGAGAAATTTTCATTAGGATAGAAACCGTTTCTTTTTTCTGTTAATGTTTTACACAGATAAATTTTCTTGATAGTTTGTGTAAATGTTTTTAACAAGGTTAAAACATTCATTGTCACTAACGAAGCCTTTTTTAATTTAACTAATTTTCCTGTTTTTTTTTTTGTTTTGTTTTGTTTTTTTTTACTATATTTCAGTACATTTAATTGTTTTTGTCATTCTATGTGCCTGAATACACACGCTTGATTACCTCTGTGTGTTCATATGGAAGAGAGGCAGCGTGTGTGTGAGAGAGATAACTGTTTATTGTACATGTATTATAAAAACTGTATGTAAATACTTTACCTCACACTCATGGACTTTTGATAAAAACTGTACAAAACAGGTGAGAAGAGACTTCTTTGGGATAAAACGTTGATTCGAAGGTCCCCTTGCAAAATTGCTTTTGTAATGACTTCAGGCCAGGATATGTGCAATCATTTATTATTACACAGACAGTGTGCACATTTAATAAGTCAGGGTTAGTTGATGTCTTTTTATTTCCTATTTGATTTGGTCAAAGATCAGCTGATACAGTTGTTTTCCCAAAGGAAAAATGATAAAGCTTCATCTTCAATCGGTACACAAAAAGCACAGTAAATGATTTGTTGCATTTTAACCGAGGTTCTTTCTTTCTTTCTTCTTCTTTGGCTGAATCTTCTGGTTTTGTGTTTTGCCACAGAAGATCGAACAACTCCATTCCTGAGCTGTACAGATTGTGAAAAATGTACATAGAACAAAAATCTAGTTCACCCTTGCATTTTTTTTTTGTATGGAGAGAAATTACTTGTGTGAAGAGAGTATTTCAAATTTGATTGAATATTTAGTAATATTGAAAACGAGATTAAACACAGTAAATGTGAAAATACGTGCTGAGAAATATTATTCTTCTGTCTCTTTGGAATAAAAGTGTTGAGTATTAATAAAAAAATAAGAAATCTCAAATGTATTTGTCTTTTTATTTTATACCAGCTTTTTTTTATTATTATTTATTTATTTTGCCCTTTGTGTTTACAGGTTGGCAGACAACAACAGGACTTCTGTCATGTGTTTATGTTTGACACTTAATGCATCAGGAACATATTGTGACAGATCATATTATTATTTCCCATAGATCATTTATGGTTCGGACATAGTGGCTGCAGATAAGTGTCATCATTTGTTCCTCTCTGTCTTCTCAGAGAAAAGACTGTCATCATGTGAGATTGATGTTTCCAGCCATACTGGACAAGTGTTTTTATAGACCAAAAATTGATGGGGCATGAGAATAAAAATGTGGATGAGAGATATATTTAGGAAAAACAAGACATGATGCAAACTGAAGCAGGCAGCAGAGATCAAAGCCCCTCAATCAACCTCAGACTTCGTCTTTACTCTGAAAGCCTCGTCCAGCAACAGGAGTTATTTAAGGAAACCGACAGGGCGGAAAATGTACAGATGCCTTGTGTACAGATTTGGTGGGAGAATCTGCAAGCCGGATGCTGATGCAGAGCAAAGTGAGGAGGTAGAAATAACCTTTTAATAAGTTTCATCTTATGCTTCTTAAAAAAACACACTCTAGTCTTTACTATTTTCTGCACTCTATAGCCATCTGTTCTGCTCGTCTCTCCCTACACCAACCCAACAACCTCAGGATGCATTGCAACACATGTAACTACTTCTTGACAATTAACTGTTACCTAGCAACTGGCTCTTTTTCCAGAGATGGGGAGGGCGGAGGGGTGAGGAGGGGTGTAGAAAGAGAGACAGAGATTCATACAGTATTCCCACGGCATCCTAACTGGATTGGATGCAACAATGTATCGACAGTGCCATACGGAAATGGAAAGTACAGCCCAAGCTTATCACCCACACAAAGCAGTGTAGAGAGAAGAGAGAAAAAGAAGGAGCGGGAGGAGGAATAAAGACGGTCAGGGTGAGGGGTGGTGGTTGAAGTGCATATTACAGTATGGAAAGAAAGGGGTGGGGGGATGAAACCCATGCAGGGGACACAGGGAAACAAAAGGGTAAGCAAGTGGTGAGTGTGCAGACGCAGGTCGAACATGAGAGGAAGTGTGGAGAAACAATAGAGGAGGAACATGCCACACTGCGGCGTGTGGTGCGGATGACAAGTGAAGTTGTAAAAGAGGAGAGAAACTGGTTGTTGTAGAAACACTTGGCAAAGTTTTAATGAAGGCATGAAGTTTGATGCCTGTGCCCACACCATCGACACACACACAATTACAATAAGCAAACAAATGGTATAATTATGTGAGCAGATAATGGGCCCCCACTGCTGCGCACACGAGAACTGTTCCTGGCTTCATCTGAGCAAAGACAAAAGAGCAAGCCTCCATGAATCAGTGTGAAGTCAGAATGTGGCAGCGGGTGAGCACTGACACCCTGTGGCAACAGCACAGCATCCTCTGGTAATTGGATATAGGCTAGGACATGATGCACAGTAGCTGGGAATATGGGCCTTTTCTGGAATTTTATCATATATTTTCCCATCAGTTCTTTTTATTACTGGGGTTTAAAGGATGGTTAAGATTTTTCATGTCTGTCTTAAACCAAAAACTGACAATACAGTATGTACATCAATCACTTTAGTCTTAAACTTTGCTACTTTGAATGAAATCCATTTGATTTGTTTAACTCAGACTGATTAACTTCAGACTTTATTTTACTGCTGTTTCCTAATAATGTCTTGAACATTTCCAGTCAAGCTTGAACACTTTCCTATTGAATTGGAAGACAAACTTTTGACTGTTAGTGTAGTTTGGTACAAATTACAGAAATAATAGGATTGCTGACAGAAGCTTATTTGGAGATAAATATATAGTTTACAAACCTATTAAATGAAGTTTTACCATTTTTGTACAAAATGGGAGCTGTGGATTTTGTCCCCTATCAGATCCACTGAAATCACTCAGGATGTCTCTACAGGAAGAACATATTACAGTTATTGGTCATTACAATGACGAATAACCCCTTCAATTCACATGCAGTCATGCCAATGTTATTTTAAGATTGACATGTGATCCTTTCTTTTATAAGAAACACAATCAATACTGTAGATAATACAGGAAAATGCACTGTGAACTTAAAGTTTAGGTTATGGCGTAGTCTTGCACTGAGGGCACAGAAAGTGTTTGTTTTTTTTAACTCTCTCACTCTCCAATTTATAATAACTAGAGTTTTCACAAATGGTAGTTTGTTAAATTTTTGTTTGTTTTATGAATCAATACATTATAAAAACCAAACCCAAGAAATACAGTTGAATATACATAAAACACTACCACTTACGGTACAAAAACATAAATCAGCAGCAGGTTGATGGCATTAGAGTGGGATACATTAGTTATATTTGCATTAAGAGCTGAGAAATCAGAAACCCCTTTGGCTTCTTGGCTGCTGCTTTAAAGAACCACACAGTAATGTATTTCAGGTCATTTTTACCCATCTTTCTTTATATATTTTCTCTCAAAGCCTGTATTTATTTACAATGTCATCTTTACCAATAGCTACTTTATTTTTCACGTCAGTCGGGACAACAGGACAAAACCAGTGCTCACTTGTTCAGACCAGAACATCCAAATTATTTAATTAATATTCACACTTCACATTTGCTTATGTGCCAGTATGAAAAGAAAAAGAAACCATCTCTATGAGAAGTAAATGATGAAGGCCATGAGATGTGTCCCAAACACATAAGTTTGTGTTGTGAATGTTTTTGCACACTGTTGTTTTCAGTCATCACAATTTAAGCTTGTAAAAATATACATTCTTACTGTAGCTACTGTTCCCTAGAAATGAATGTGGTGTTGGTTAAAAAACTAATTCAGGTTTTTAGTATTGAGGAAGAAGATGAGTGTCTGAAGACTTTGAATTAAGTCTGACATTAAGACCCAAACAATGAAATTGGGCTAATCGAAGAGTTTATTAAAGAAATACTTTATCTATTGATTATTACAAAGCATCATTCCTATAGAGTTTATAGATGGATTTCATACATTTTATAATATTTGCAGAAAAACCTTTCTCACTCCTCCACCTCCTGGTCTCTGTCTATGTCTCTATCTCTCACTCAGAACTAGCTTCTCCCTGTCGTTCTTTAGGACTCTGACCCGGTTCCTCCTCATCACCCGACTCCCCCTCGATGGGCCAGCCGTCACTACCGTCCTTGGGGTGTAGCGGGCCAAGCTCGTCACCTCCCCTCTCAAGCTTTGAGGTGTCACAGCCCGGCTGCCTCCCACCTCCTCCTTCCCATCGTCCCGGTAGCCATGGTGATGGAGGAACGGTTCCAGCGTTGCTAGGCGATGAGAGAGCTCAGTGATGCGTCGATGCAGCAGGGAGACTTCTCTGAACAGGTCGTTCACGGACTCAGACAGAGGGCGCACTCTGCAGGACGAAGAGAGGAGGTTCGAGTTCTGGTAACTAGTCACTCATTTACCAGGGCACAACAAAGATCATGACGCTGTATGTGTCGGCTAAAAACCATTCACACAACAGCGAACAAGCAGGGAACATTTTCATTCACTCAGCTGTCACACTGCACGCTGCTGCATGACAATGTCATCAGCACCCGGGTAGCTGAATCTGGAGTGGTTATTTTATTTATTATATATTATTTTCTCATCACTGTGTGAAACTTTCTCTATGAAGTTTTACAACCTGTAATGTCACAGTCTGCAGGTCATTAAACCCTCGACATGAGAAACTGAGAAAGTAATATTGCAAGGCTGTTTCATTTCACTGGCATCATATTCTTTTGTTAATTTAACCCACCTGTTATGTTCATGTCTCAGGAACGGCAGTGATGTTCCTGGGTTAATTTTACCATTACTAACCATTTCAGTCACTATTTAGTGCAATGGTGTTCTTTACCTCTCACAGATTATGGTTCAATGTGGATAATGCACTCGTTTTTCATAAAAAATGCATGTTAAAACTTTTTTTTAATGTACATTGGAAAGACCTACATATAAAATACATTATTTTTACATTTTAAAATACTTTTTTTAAAATTTTATTTTACATTTTATGAAGTGATGTTGATAAATTAACATGAGAGACCACCTTCTGTTCTTCCGAACAGTATCTTTGTAATATAAACATGCAGGGTGAGGTTGCAAATATGTAAAATGAACCATTTTCATTTTATATGTTGATTACACCTGTTAAGCCAAGCAGAAGAAGTTTCATACCAATAAAATACTTTTAAATATTGTCTTTAGATTTTTTCCTTTACAATGCTGAAAAAGAAGAATTAAACTTTAAAAATGTAAATATCCAAGATGTCAGGATTAAAAATGTAAACATGGGACTAGATTGTGCTGTACTCCCAAACTGACCAACTGGAACGCATGCAAGGAGAAATGTTAATGAAAAACACTGCAGATTTGTTCACAGCAAAACTGATTTTAAAAACACTACAGAAAACGGATCATAGTTGCTACTTGAAAACAGTGCACAAGCATTTATGACACATTAGTTGACATTAGTGTTGAAAATCATCCTTTCACTTTAAACTGCTGAGAGAATGGCTGCTTGTCCACTTCATGAGCTGAGCTTGTCTTATGATCATCATCAGTGCTTTCGATCACAGCTGTTTGGATTTTTTCAGAGCTCTTTGAAGGCTTTTTGTTTAAGTTGGCTTAAAACTATAAAGGCTTGAAAAATAGTTTGACATTTTGGGATACATGTTTATTTTTGTCCTTGCTGAGAAAAGATCAATATCGCTCTCTGGCTCTGGTAAATATGAAGCTATAAATGTCTCCATGACTCAGATGCTCTGAGTTGAAGTGTTGGAATCTGGAGAGGAAAAAGTTCAGTCTGTTCATCTGTAATGAAAATCACCCAGAAAACATATCGAGGGCAAGACCTCAATAGTAGCTACATGTAAAAATTAGATGTTGGTTCATCGCTTACTAAGCTGACTTGCAGTACCATTGCTAAAATGTGACAGACTGCAGGGTAAGTTTGTGCTAATAAAAGATTTTAAAATAGAAACAAAAACACAAGTGGAGAAAAGTAAACTGTAAAAAAAAAATGTAGTTGGATAAAAACAAGTAAAACTGTTTTGGTTTAACTTCAGTGCAATGGAGAATTTGGATGAACTAAAAGATCTGTTATATTTAAAACAGCTCAAACTAAAAGTAATGGAAAAGTAACTGGAACCATGAAATTGTGTAAGAGTGCCAGAAATGTCTTTAGTGTGATAAACCAAAAGGCTGCCCTGACAGTGTAATAAAGGTGAAGTCAGAGGATGATACTGGTGCTAAAGATTACCTGGAGTAGTCAGGCAACAGTGTGCTGGGCTGTGAGTGCAGCATTGTCCGGATCTCACTAAAGATACGTTTTCCCCAGGCATCTAACACTCTGGTCACACTGCGCACCGTGGCCACATTCACATTGTCGGCTGAAATGAACACGTAACACCATCAGGATTCCATTTACAGTATAAAAAAAAAAAAAAAAAGAAGAATCAGCCTGAGTGAATCATGAAAATCAAAGAAGCACATGTGTTCTAGTCACAGTGCTCCAAATAGTTTTCTTGTCTCTGCAGAGTTTCCTAAACTGGGGCATTTCATTCAGTTCACCAAGAAATAACTCTTATAATTCACGTCTTCAAATATTTTGTTACGCAAAGATTTACAGGCCACATATTTCGAAAACGTTAGGGCTCAGATAGGGGCTTATGATTTACCTCCATCTCTGTAGTTCCAGTATCCATAATCCAGTTCATTCTCCTCGCTGGCTGCAAGGGCCCCGGTTGCCATGGCAACCACCATCAGTAGCATAAATGGAGAGGCTGGGGCCATGATAAGCAGACAGACACCCCCCTTACAAAGAAAAAGAAAGAGAGAGGGGGGAAAGGGAAAAAACAAATCCCTGTGTGTCTTCTGTTGAAAATGATCAGATACAGTTTCCTACATATTTATTTTAATCCAGAAGAGATGGATAAAAGGCAGAATGAGTGGGAGATGGAAATAAAAGACTTGATGAAACCCAGGCTTCATGAGCGCAGACCAGAAAACTGACAGCTTCCATCAGTTTAAAGCGTGGCAGCATGCAGATGTGCGCACACATCTGTGTCCAGTGGGCGAAATTATCAGCAGGTACATTACCAAACATAGTAGGCTGTATAAAGTATGGTAAAGACTACTTTTACAAAAAATACTTTAAATACATTTGGTTGCTAATACTTCTGTAGTTCTGTATTTTGTATTTTATTCATTTGTACTTTCAAAGTACACCTATTATTAACGATATGATTCATATACAAAGACATTTAGAAACTGAACTATTTGCATGATTTTGCTGCTTTTATAGTCTAAATATGTTTTCCACCACTGTCTGTACTTTTTTTTTGCTCACATACTGGTCTTGCTTACAAATCTGAGGTACTTTCATTTTAATAAGGTATTTCCTTTTATGTTACTACTGTATATATTTCTGTTCTTGTCAGGATCCCAGTCTCTGTTTTGTCTCTGCCACATGTTTTCTCTGTCAGTTTAGACCCAGCTTCTTTGTCTCTTTCCCCACTTGTTCAATTCCCGCTCTGCCCAGCTCTACCCTCACTCAACCTGCTTGCTATTTGTTTAATCAACCACTCAGTATTTATGCCAGCAGTCAGCTTTCATTCCCTGCCATGGTCTCCACATAAAAGCATCTATAGTATCTCCTGCCTGTTTTCCTGTCAACCTGTCTGTCCACCAGACTGTGACCTCACCTGTTGTGTTGTTGATTTCAGGAGTGTTTGGACACTTTGTTTTCCTCCTGGTTTTCTGGTCAGTTGTCTGTTCTTTATTTTATTTGTTAGCCTACCCATGTAGAGACTTTAGTTTACTTTCTGAGGGTTTATAACCGATCTGGTTGTGACACAAAACCTTGTCTAACTTGAAAAATCTTGTAACATTGACTAAACTTTAATCACTTGCTCTTTGAGAGTTGGATCTGTGTGTGTTTGTTATGAGAAGAGACAATCCATTCTGGCAATACAAAGGAAGTTTAAATAAAAGACTTTAGGTCTGAGTGGAAAAAACGAAAGAAGTTGTAAAGGCAGACTGCCCAGAAAACAGGACAAGGAATGAAAAAAGAGCAGTATTGCAGTGTCCAATAAGCCCATGACTCATTGTAGAGGTATTATAAGTGTTTTCAGACAATATCAGGCTGATCAAACGTGCAGTGAAGGTTTGCTGAACAATAACTTTACACAGCTTGTTTCACATCTGGCAGCAACCTCAAACCATGAAGCCACAAAGCAAAGTGTCCCTTCGCTACAGTGATTGTGTTTGTGTTTTGTTGTAGTAACTTTGCAAACACACACAAAATATTAAACTCTAAAAACTGTTTTGGAAAAATTAGTAAATGCACCGATACTCACGAGCTGACGTGATGATAGTGATGATGCTGTTTCACTCTTTCTCTGATGCAGTCAGAATAACAGATGCCTTTGCTTCTCCCGTGTCTTCACTGTGTCACTGCCCTCTTCCTAATACTTCTTCTCTAATCTCTCTCAACTTCGCTGATGCTCTCTCCACGCTGGCAGCTGTAAGATAATTAGAAAGAGAGCGTTGCAGGTCCAGTGATGAGCCTCTTTTAAAACCTTTTCATTTCTGTAGAGCTGTAGTATCTTTACACCACCAGCACACACCCCCCCTCTCCCTCTCTCTCTCTTTTCTCTCTCACACACACAAATTAGTATTTGTGTAGCCCTCCAAAAATGCTCTTTGGAGTTTTGAGAACTGGCTAAAATGTCCTTACAATGATGGCATTTAAAAAAAAAAATTGGTGTACACACTATAATAAAGATGTGCATGTGTACAAACACACACACATTGTCACATCCAGCTCCTGCCAGATGTGTGGCACATAATAATTTATTATTATTACCTTTATTTCCTGTCCTTTGTGTCTCTTTATGTCCTTTATAGAACAGGTACAGCAATAAAATGCTACTTAAATAACTAATAATATGAGAAGAACATGTTATGCAGAGCACACACTCTGAAACTGACTATCTGCATTTTAAATACATTTACTTCAAATACTTGAAATACTTCCACCTGTGGTGGAATAAGTATTTACAAAAAGAAGTATCACTGCAGCACATTATAAAACTATTCCAATAAGATTACATGTGAATGGATTTCAATGTTTACATAAGTAAAATAAGGAAGTACTGGTAACAACATGTTCTTCATTTATCAGAAGTACAAAAGGTCAGTATGTACAATGTCCCCTTTCAGCATTATATTATATACAGTAACTAAATCATTGTTAGTGATGCATTAACATGTAAGCTGTACATTAATGTTATAGCAGAATGAGGCAAAGCTACTTTTTACTTTGTATACTTTTAACCTTATATAGTTTAGGGAGGTGGTTCATTTACTGCAGTCCTGTGCTTAATTTTAAGTTATTGAACTTTACATTGAAATGTCCATTTTAAGCTACCGTATACTTCTACTCCATTACATACAGTATACTTCATAGACTAGTGCTAATCTGTTTGTTTTTGTAAAAACACTGTATCTTCTACTCCCCGGGAAGGAGGAGAGGTAGGGAGTGTAGGAGACAGGATATAAAATACAGTGAACGATTCTTTGACTGGTGTCCAGATGTTATTCCAGTTCATTCTCTGTCTGTTTTCATGCTGTGGCTGGGATGAGGTAAGAGTTGGACACCAAATGGTGAAAAAAGAGGCAGAGAGAAGGAATGAGGCAAAAAAGAAAGGAAAGAACAGTCAGTTGGGGTTAAACAATCATGACAGCTGCACTTAAGCATCTGCACACCTCTCCTGGCAGCCACAGAGAAAAATTCAGCACAGTTATTGTGGTGAAGAGTTCACACTGCCTTCCACAGCTGGTTCACATTAACAGCAAGCAATTTGTCACCTTCAGCTGAATTCCACCCTCTTTCTCTCTCTCTCTCTCTCTCTCTCTCTCTCTCTCTCTCTCTCTCTCTCTCTCTCTCTCTCTCTCTCACACACACATTTTTTTCATCTTATAGATACCACATGACCGGGTGTGCACTTGTGGCTCATACATTTATTTCTCCTACACTGTCTCACTGTGGAGGGAAGTCAACATTGCACTTCACTTCTCATTCAGAGGCTGATGTCACACTCTAGTGGAGCCAGAAACACTCCATCTAAACACACCAATAAAGCAAACCGTGGCCTTGTCACTATATGTGTGTTTAGCTGTGGATTTGTCCTTTTGGTGTCCAGTGTTTTCAGTTTGTAATCTTTAATGTCATGTATCAGAGTAATAAACTCTTTTTTTATTTGTGCTCTGGGCTCTTTAGTGTCTCCAATGGGTCTTCAGAAAAACGGATATCTTACATTTTGGGGAAGTGGCTTTACCAAAAACAGGAAACCCAGCACTGCAGTTTATGTACCAGTATAAACTGAGAAGCACCAAGTAGATACGCAGGAAAAAAAACACCAAAGAAGACGACTACAAGCACCCACCAAATCATGTTGACTTGGATATTTGCATTTTTCATCCCTTGTGTATGCACAGGAATGGGAACACCAAGTAAGTCGTCCAGATCATCTTCTTACAAACATATATCTGACAGACAAGTTGTATGAGCACTCATTGATTATTATAATGTCTTAAAACCCTTCTCTATCACTTATGTGATTCTTGAATTATTTGCAGTCAAAGATGTAAAAATATGTCTCTTTATTGTGCAACTAATAATTATTTTCATTATGAGATAATATATTGTTTATTTTGTGATTAACTGATTAATTATTTAGTCTGTAAATTATATAAAAGAGGGGAAAAGCAGCAAATCCACAGATTTGAGAAAATGGACCCCTTAAATGTTTTTGCTTGATAAGGACTTAAATAATTACTTAATCTTCAGCATAGTTGCATACTTAATCTGTTGACTGACTTACTGATAAATCAAATAATCACAGAAACTCAAATGTTAACCTTTATGCTATGTCCCCTTACAGAATTATCCCTGGAAAACACCGTCTTTGTGGCCTTCAGAGGCGAAAATCTCACTATTAAAGGTGACTTGACCAAACCAGCAAACCAAAGTGGAGACAAGCTGACATGCACTGATCCTTTCAACAAAAAGATATATAGTCGTACATTTGATTTGCCTGCTGCCAAGGCAAAAAAATATAACCTGACTTTGGTGATAAAAAACCTGAACAGTTCAGGTGAATATTATTGTAACTATAAAGAAGACAAAGTGTACTGGTTTCTTCGAATAAGAGGTAAGTAATGTTTAGGACAGCGAAGTAGCAGTAAAGTATTATATCTAAAACAAACTTGTGAAACAGATTGTTTTCATTTCTTCAGTATAATAACATACACAGTCTATATAGCATTTAATGATTTTTATGGAGCACATAACCAAACAGAAACTTTATTGTGCAGGGCAGTGGTTCCCAGATTTTATCACTTATGTCTGCTTGAAATGAATGTCCAGTTGTAGCTGTATAATGAAGAATTACTAAATGTAATGTTGTAGTGGGACAAGAGGATTGAGGTGTCAGTATACTCCGAACAAACCATTGGTGTTTTGTCCAACCATGCCTGAAGGTAAAAGTGCTTATAGCTGTTAAAAGGAGCTATATTCAAAGACAGTGAAAAACTAGAATGTGGAAGACCGTAATGGTTCAAACTGGGACAACAGTGCACACTTTTGGACAATATTTTCAAAAGCATTCATTAACTCGGTTGAACACACATAGCAACAGATATAATTGTGTCTGATTGAATCTGAAAGGTTTGTTCAGACCCTGCTTATGACCCTGCTTATGGGTATGAATGCCAGACAGTAATTTTCAGAACATTACAGAGATGGTCAGAGAAAGCTCCTCCAGTACCAGTGTCAGATACTGTAAGTGCAGGTGCAAGAGGGTTGAGATACAACTCAACATCCACAGATCACTTTGGCTGAAGCATACTGACACTTTTAGCCACAGGTGTAAACTAATGTCTTGAGGAGGAGATTATTATTATTATTATTATTATTATTATTATTATTATTATAGTTTCTGGGGTCCCTCGTCCCTCTGAGATCATAGATGCAAACATACAAACAAAATGCTAATAGGCACAAAGTCAGTTAAGTTGCTGGAGAAAGGTGCAAGTTCATTATTTACACAACACTGGTTCATTGATTAGCTGTTTGATTTGTTTGTCTCCAGTGAATTTTTACACATAAAAGTGAAAGTATCCAGTAGCCTTTACCACAAGAAAAAAGCAAAACTCCTGAGAAAAGTCTGAAAAATAAACTTGATTTTTGTTTAACAGGGATGTGTTTTTCTGTCATACTGCTTTAACACTTTGTGATCACTTGAATATATTCTGGGATCCCATGAAGAGTCCTGACCCCCAAGTTGGGAACCACTGTCAATGCCATAAGACATTAGTGGACTAATACCAATGCTGACATTATGCTGAAAAGTCCACTGGTCTTAAACACCTTTAGCTAATGTACTAGTTGCTTCACAAATGTGGAATTTATCAGTCTAGCTCTGCTGTCCAGTTATTATGCATTCCCTGCTCAGACTGACATTGAACAATGTGTATTTTCCAGATAAAGGCTACAGGGATATGGAGAAAATTTCGGATAAAGCAAAATTCATCACAGTGGCTGTCTTCACTGGTATACTGCTTCTTTTCAGTGTGGTCGGGTCAGTGTATGTCTTCAGAGGACATTGGGTAAGATGTGTGCTGCTCATGACTGGGCAGATATTAAGAAACAGGGTGTTACAATAGTGTCAAAAGAACCACTGGTTAGACACAGCAAGCAATTAGGAAATACTACCATAGGATATGTTTTGAGCATTTTTCACTATTTTCTGACATTTTTTAATAAAAAAAATAAAAATCAACTGAGAAAATAATAAGTAGTTGTTACCCAAAGTTACATCTGGGTCAAGCAGCAGATCACCTCAGAGATTGGGCTAATTAAGATAACATACAGTATTTCATGTTAGAATTTTATTAAACATTATTTAATCAAACACATTTTCAGAATGAAACCTGCACAGATTTCAGTTTGCCATGTTTTTACAGCCAGTAGTTCTTTATCATCCAGTGGTTCTCCCATTACCTTGCAGTCATCAAGCCTCTTTTAAAACAGCAGCCACCACAAACCAAAATCAAACCTTTTTTTGTAAGAAAGATAAGTGAAATATTTTTGTACCAGCAACTAAGCATCAGGAAAATTTTCTATTTGGATTTCAGCCTCACAACAGTTACCTCATCCTGTCAGTAACTGTGTTGTTGTCATGGCTGAAGTCTAAAGATAGACCTACAGATTATCTGGTACAGAGAATAAATTTCAAGAATTTAATAATTAGCTCACAAATCTAGGCAAAGGAAGCTGCTTGGGGGTAAATGCATAAGAAAATTCCCATATGCCTTATTCTTATTTATGTCACTATTCTTTCTTTTGATAAATCATGATTTCTGGAAAAAGCTGATCACCAAATGTGGTGAAACTGGCAAGAAAAGAAAGCAGAACAATGAAGAAAGGGAAGAGAGAGCAGTGGAGGAAGATGTAAAAACAGTTCCATCTCCATCTATCTATGCTGTAAGCACCTGTACTGATCAGTATGTTGACAGACACATTACATTGAATTTAACTGTATTTTCCACCATTGTCCCTGCATTCATAAGTACATTTCTTGGAAACTGATATGAGAAATTCTCTCAGAGCCTAGAGCCTCGGCCTGCATCCATTTATGATGTGCTGGATCACTCAGCTGCCAACATAGAGCCAGACCAAGAGCAAGCTAAACCTGAGAAAAAGGAACCACATAAAACAGTCAGTATGAACATAAGGTGCTTTGTTGCATTTTCTGTTATCAGTAGAAAACAATAAAACATACATTTGGTGACCTGTCTTCTACTTCCTCCACAGAAGGTGCAAACCGCACAACACCAGGATGAAGGCATGTTGGAGTCTGTCTATGAGAACTTTTGAACCATAAATAAACTCAGCTGAATATGATACTTATATTAGTAGGTGAGGTGGTCCAAGTTTGCTTTGCTGTGCCATTGCCACCTGTTACAAGCAACAGGAAAGGTATTTAGGTTCTTTAAAAATCATATGAAAGCAGCATTTTAATTTTGTTGTTTGTTGTTGCAGTGGAATAAATTCTACTGTTGTGAGGTTGCATTATGAATATGAGTAATATGACTTTTTACTTTGCAACTATAGCAGTCAAATAAATGTACTGGAGAAAATGTGTACTGAAATAAAAAAAATAAAAAAACGCTGTATTTCCCTCTAAAATGAAATGGAGTATGGAATACAAAGTGTAAGTAAGCACCACCTCAGAATTTCTGACTAGAAAACACGACTTTTGCATAGCTCTTTTATTTCTCCATATGGGTAGTTCTCTTGTTGTAAGCTCCGCCTATTGCCTGCGGTGACCAATGAAATTGTGAGATCCGGATTCTACGAGCCAATGCCAATGCTCCTCTCAGTTGGACTTCCGGGTTTGTTTTGTTTTCCTACTGTTACAATGGCTGCAGAGAGTGATTTTCTAACGAGATATCGTGCTGTGTCAAATAAACTGAAAAAGTAAGGCTTTGACTTATGTTATTTCAAAGGAGGACTGAATATCAGGATTAGCGTAACGTTACTCGGCATGAATGCTACGGATAAGTTTCCACCTAGTGCTAATAAGATTAGCTAACGTTAGCCTATCGTTAATTTCAGTGTCATGTAACTTTAGCTAGCCTGTTTGACATAACGCTAGCTCTGTCTTTGTGTGGATATATGTTGGTGTAATCTTTAAATGTCTTTATAGAGTTGAATTGTTTAGGCAAAGCGTATGGGACAAAGATAGCGGAGGTGTCATGCCGTTATTTGACAGCTCACTAGGTGAGCTAGCTAAACGTAATCAGTACTAACATTACACAGCTTGATCAAAATCATTCTTCTGTTATTTAAGGTTGACTTGTGCTAGACTGATAGAACTGGTTGATTATGAAATTTAGGAAAATGGACAGATTTGTATTTTGTTTTGTTTGCTTTTAATCATAGACGTTTTCTTCGGAAGCCAAATGTAGCAGAGGCAAGTGAGCAGTTTGGTAAGTTATGTTATCAACCCATGGTTGCTGTAACTTTACAGTACACAGTGAACTTTCTCTTGTTTTCCCCCTGTGGAAGAATGTGACATTAAACCTTTGACCTCTGATATGCCTTTCCCCCCGTTCTTTCAGGCCAACTAGCCAAAGAGCTAAAGCAGCAGGACTGCCTGCAGTATGCTGCCTTCTGTAACCTGGCCATGGCTCGGTGAGAGGACACTTCCCACTTAAGACAAACTGTATACTCATAAGCCTGCTTGCAAAAGTTTGGTCACTCCTCAGCACATGACATATGCTGTTCTTTTTAGTAAATCAACAGCAACAAACAAACACTGAAAATGTTGATGCAGTGTTGCTTTTTATTTCATGACCTTAAGACAGAGGGGGGAACAGTCAACATTAATTGTGGCATGGGCAAAAGTTTAGGCACCTGCTAAGTCAGTACTTACGAAATCATTCTTTGCCAGCTGTTAAGCACTAGGTTTGAGTGGCAGACAGTAGCACTTAAAACACCGCATGGAGAGAGCAGATGGAACGAGGAAAAATTACATGGTGGTTTAATGTTCAGTTGTCCACATACTTCACATCATGAAAGATTCCTCAAGTAATGGTCATGTAATGTCATTTGTCTAAATGTTAATCACTGTGTACAGTTTGAAAGTGTTTCACCTCAACCTCCTAAACACATTTAAAAAAAAAAAATAGTTTCATTCGTGCTGAGTACAAGGTGAAACTACATGAAATATTTATTTCTTATGACCTGCCCCTGAAAAATGTAATGTCTCAATGTGGAATTACTGCATGAAGTTGTCTTTTGGAAAGTCAGTTGAAGTGGTGTTTCTGTTACAAATACTGTATGAAATGTCACCACTGATCAGATTTTTTTTTTATTCTTACAAAAATTGGAATTACAGTATTGTACTAGGCTTTGAAACACTCAAAATTATTACAGTTTGATGAAGAATGTATTATTGAAGCAACAGTTCTCCACCCCATTCACCTTATCATATTATGTTTGTTATAAAGTTTGAGAAATCTTGCTACTGTGTATTAAATAAAAAAAAAAATCAACTAGCCTCAGCAGACTGCTCTAGAGTCAAGTTGATTTAATAATCAGATCATCTCATAAAGATGCAATGCAGTGAGTGATGATTAGTTACTCCTGTCCCTCACCATAAACCACCACAGGGCGACAGAGGTGTTGCTAATCATCTGTCTGTTAGGCTAACTCCTGTATACGGACCCAGAGTGAGACAGAAGACAGTCGTGCTTGTCGCAGGGATTCCAGATAGTGACAAGCTTCAGGCCCAACACAAAAGCAGACTGTAAGGATCCCTCCCTACCAGACAACCTCAAAACATTGTATCCCTGGTCTGAGGCCACCAACAATAGGAGGGAACAGAGGATCCCATCAAAATCCATCAACCAGATACTTCAGCTGTCAGCTGATAGTGTGAAGAGGGTGTTCTCTAGAATTAACCCCCGGAAGGCTGCTGGGCCAGACAATATACTACTATTAATTACTAATCTAACCACGTCATAAAGTTCACAGATGATACTACAGTTGTAGGCCTCATCAGCAACAAAGATGAGTCGGCATACAAGAGGGAGGTGGAACAGCTGACAACTTGGTGTAAATAACACCACCTCGTTCTCAACACAGAAAAAACTAAGGAGATGATAGTTGACTTCAGATGAGTTAATCCATGCCATCACCCCCCACTAGTTTTCTCTGGTTCTGTTGTTGAGAATGTGGGTTTCATTTGACTAGTAACCTTTGGAGAGATGACTACAGCCATCATCGAGAAGGCTGAACAGTCCCTCCATCTCCTCCCTACACTGAATAAAGTGGACCTCCCCACTTCAACCATGACTGTTTTTTTTACCATGGTACCATAGAAAGTATCCTGACCAACTGCATCATCTCCTGGTTCGGGAACAACAGAGCAGAGGACAGACAGACTTGGACGGCTTGTGCCTACAGCGGAGAACATCATTGGTGCACCGCTGCCATCTCTGCTGGACATCTACAATCTGTTGAGGAGGGAATATCACAAAGGATACATCTCACCCCTCCCACAGTCTGTTCTCCCTTATGCTTTTAGGAAGGAGATACAGGAGCATTTCTTCGAGGACCACACCTTTGAGGAACAGTTTTTTTTTCCCCCCTCACCAATAAGACTGTTGAACCAGAGCATGAGCATTACTGCACTTTAAGAATCAGTTTTGTAATGGAATTAGCTTTTATTCTGCAGTTGTTGGATTTTAATTACAGATATATCTATTTATATGGACATTATTAGATGTATTTTTATTGCACTGTAATTGTATTTTCAAATGGCTAGGTGTTATGCAAAACACTATCGTTATGTTTCACACAAAAACAACGATAAAGAAATGTATCTGTCAGCGAGGGCCTGTGTCATTCATCATGATGTCATGTCTACTGTTGATTTGTCTGGGGTGCACCTGTTGTTACACATCCTGAATGTCTTGACTGCAGATGTGAGCAGACACTTTTTAACGCTCCTGGGGAGGCCCTGGCATTAACCGAAGCTGCCCGCCTTTTTCTCTCATCTGAGAAGGAGACCAGGGCCCTGCAGGCCCCAGGCTTTGATGAACACCTTCAGGCTGCACTCAATTGCTACAGCTTTGCCATCAAGGTACTTGTGGTTTCTCATTTTAGTGCTTGAAGCAACACTTACACTCTAAAATATCTGGAAAGTAAAAGTAGTACTACATTCAGTGCATATTTGTATTATTTGTCGTGTATGCAATTGCAGGTGTACATTGAAATGAACCAGCCTATGATGGCAGCCAGCCTGTGTCTAGAAGTTGGCAATGCACTCAAGGTAAAGCTTTGCATCAGAGCTTCAAGCTGTCCTATAAGATGGATTCACTTGATTTTGCCTGAAGTTTATATATTTCATCTGAGATATTGATCTCAGCTCCTGCTCTGACTTCAACAGGAGATTAACAGACCAGGAGAGGCTATTGTTCATTTTCAGAGGGCTGCAGAACTGCAAACGCAGATGCCGATTGAAGCGCTGCTGTCAATGGGAGAAATGGCCACGTGTAAAATTATCACCCGTAAGTTTGGTCTGTGTATTCTCATCTGATTATGTTGCTGGTGCATGTTCTTTTTGCCTATATATGCTTTGACTTTTTCTGTAGTTGGAGCTGAGATCTCTCATGTTTTGCAGGTGACTATGATGGTGCTTTGTCAGTGTTCACAGAGATGCAGCTGATGTGCCAGGAGAGGGGACTGCAGCTGCCTGGCACCAGCACCCCAGTGGGTGAGTAAAATGATGTTTCAGAAAGCGGTGGCATCTTTTTAAAAAAAAAAAGAAAAAAAAAAAGAAAAGGGCACATAAAGAGTTTTGATACTTGGGATGAAAATTGGAATGTTTAAACAAACGTAGACACAAATCAGTGTCTCACTTCCTGTTTTAATATCATTACTGCTTTTTATTTGATCATGTCAACTGGAAATCCGCTCATCTGTCTTCGTTTCCCAAAAATTCTCCAAGGTGCATTTCTGGACATTGTGGCAAAATGTGAGATCTCCAGAGTATTACTGCTGATGTTGCTTGAGGTAGGCCTGTCGATTGTCTTATGGAAACACAAGATATTGTGAGAAACCCATTTATATCACAGTATCTGAAGTGGAAATATGCCCTGATAAAGGGAAAATGATCTTTTATAAAGTCTGACTCAGTCTAGTTCTAGGGAAAATGATATTTTATAAAGTATGACTCGGTCTAGTTCTGTAATTACTTATGAAAATCTTTATTTTGAACAGGTTTCTGTAGGTAGTTGTGATGAAACATTGTGTACCCTGTGCAGAGTATTTTTATTTGTACAACAGATACATTGCAATATGATGACCTGCCAGTATTTCAGTATCAGTTATCAGCCAGATAAAGGGGGAATTTCCAGAAAGGATTCAGATTTTAAGCATTAAAAGAATAAAACCTTCCACATCGGCAATGCAGCAGAAAATATTGCAATATTGCATCACATTACTGATTGTTTTTCCTACATAGTATAGTACTTATCTTAAGTCTTGGGTGGGAGGGGGGATGATTGCTGGCGCAGCAGCACATAAATAGTCCAACCTTTTCCTTTTCCTGTGCAGCCTCCGCCTCAAAAGCTGTTACCAGAACACGCACAGACCCTGGAAAGATATGCATGGGAGTCCTTTGACCCTCACAGCCAAGGTACATGCACCTCAGCATTTAAATACTATCTTAAAGGGGGAAAAACATAGTATGAAATATATATTCTTTTTCATTATATATCTAGCACACAACAAGAAGGCTCTGACTTTTAACCTGCCAGCCAGCTTAGTGGGCCTTTTTGTGTGCAGTGTGCCTGTTCTCCCTGTGCCTGCTGGGTTTCCTTCCACAGGCCAGAGACATGCAGGGTAGGTTAATTGGTGACTCTAAATTGCCCATAGGTGTGAGTGTGAGTGGTTGTCTGTCTCTGCATGTCAGTGCTGTGCTAGACTGGCGACCTGTCCTGGCTCCACCCCACCTTTCTCCCAGCGTTATCTGGGATTGGCTCCAGCGGCCCCACAGTCCTCAGGGATACACGGGTATAGCTCTTGGTGAAATGGAAATGGATTATAAATCCTGTGAGTGATGTTTATTTTAACACGTAAACACGGTTCTTGTCTTCTCTGTCAGTGACCTTCCTGCCTGAGAATGTTTTCCTGCTGCTGCAGTCAGTTGTGGTGAGTTTCATCATCCACATACTTGTTGAGTTCTCAGGATTTCCTGATCCTGCTGCCTCATAAAGGAAAAGCGATGGCATTCACATGACAATTATAAATGTGCTGGAGTTTATCTTCTTTGCCACTGGAGGGAATTTTTTTGGCAGCATTTGCAGCAGTGTTGTGTTGTTAGGTCTGTATCTTGTTCATGCGAGCTGGTTGATATTCACAGATCTGAACTGCTTGTTCTCCACTTAAATACTCATAATAAAAAGCTATGGATGAGCAGAATCCATGTTATTGAATGGGTTTTTAAGAGAGAAACATTTGACTTGGCTTGTCGAGGTCATCTGACTTTGCAGCTATGGTTTTATTGGTCCAGTGTGTAACAGTGAATCTGTTTTGCAGATGGCGTGTCAGGAGAAAGACACAGAGTCTCTCAAGTCTCTTCAGACAGAGCTATGGTGAGCATTCGACAGTGGTTATTTATGTTGTGTAATGGGGACTGAGCAGCATTTTTGTTCCTTTTCAGTCTTAATTCTCTGTATTGATCGTGCATTTGTACATTCCGCCCCCTCAGGCCGTTTCTGACCGCTGAGCAGAATCACCTTCTCCACCTGGTGGTTCAGGAGCGCATCATGCCATCTGGCCAAGGCATTTAGTGGTCCAGTTTTTCCTCATTTACTCCAGGAACAATAAGTTATATAATAGAACATTCCTGTTTATGGCTTGGTCTGTTGTAAGGCCTGATGAAATGTGGTTTTCAAAACTTTCATGTTGTAACTTAAACTCAGAGAAAACATGCAATTCAAAAAATGTTCCCACATTAAGCAAAGTCAGATTTAGAAATTTGAGAAAATCCAACCGCATTTTCTAGGAAGTATGTTATCCTTTATTAGCTTGATGTGATGATGTTTGTCTGGATGCTAACATTAAAGTTAAATGATTTTAATCAAGTTGTTTGCTCTTATCCAAGTGAACACTACAAAGCTGGACAAGTGAGTGTTTTGGATTTTGTTGTATTTACAGAAGTTTGAGATTAAACAAATTCCTTGTTATTTGTTTTTATTCATAAATGATATGGCTTAAATTCCAATATAATTAAAAACAAAAGCTCTATAATATGATGAACTGAAACTGCACTGCCCTCCATCCCTGTTCGCACTATGTTCACTTGTACACACTCCATGTACTATTCCTTTAATAGCAGCCAACTACAAACATGATTATAAACACTCCATATGAAATGTTACAAAAATATAATTGTTACAATGTACATACATGAAAAATGGATAATATACGTCGGTTGTAAAATAGTGATACATGATTAAATCTACTTGTACTGTAAATCAAGGCTCGTCTTTTCTGGCTGTTCAAGTACAGCAACATGAATGTTGTAGTTTTGTCAACATATCATACCTTCTCAGATACAGTATTTTATTCACTACTTGACTCTGGAAACCTGCAGTAGTAGCTGTCAACCTCATAACATAGTAATACAGGGTGAATATTTTCATCTAACAGAATATCTTCCAACTACTACATCTCAATAGAGCACCGGTAACTTTGTTAGATACCTAAAGCGATATGACATGTTGGGATAGATGTTTTCTTGTTGAGTTAGATAAGAGGCTTTATACCATTCTCATATCTCTATGATAAATATGAGGCTACATCCAGCAGATTATCTTATCCTAGCATAAAGATTGAAATAAGGAAATACCGAGCCTGGCTCTGTCACAAGGAAACTATGGTTACGTTCGCACTACCTGCCAAAGTGAGTCAAATCTGACCAAGTCTGATGGACACTTAATCCATGACTTTATGACTGGCCACGGCAATCACTCCAGTGCAATAAACGGTAAATATAGCTGTTGTATACAGTGGGTACGGAAAGTATTCAGACCCCCTTAAATTTTTCACTCTTTGTTATATTGCAGCCATATGCTAAAATCATTTAAGTTCATTTTTTCCTCATTAATGTACACACAGCACCCCATATTGACAGAAAAACACAGAATTTTTGACATTTTTGCAGATTTATTAAAAAAAGAAAAACTGAAATATCACATGGTCATAAGTATTCAGACCCTTTGCTGTGACACTCATATATTTAACTTAGGTGCTGTCCATTTCTTCTGATCATCCCAGAGATGGTTCTACACCTTCATTTGAGTCCAGCTGTGTTTGATTATACTGATTGGACGTGATTAGGAAAAGCCACACACCTGTCTATATAAGACCCTACAGCTCACACTGCATGTCAGAGCAAATGAGAATCATGAAGTCAAAGGAACTGCCTGAAGAGCTCACAGACAGAATTGTGGCAAGGCACAGATCTGGCCAAGGTTACAAAAAAAATGTCTGCTGCACTTAAGGTTCCTAAGAGCACAGTGGCCTCCATAATCCTTAAATGGAAGACGTTTGGGACGACCAGAACCCTTCCTAGAGCTGGCCGTCCGGCCAAACTGAGCTATCGGGGGAGAAGAGCCTTGGTGAGAGAGGTACAGAAGAACCCAAAGATGACTGTGGCTGAACTCCAGAGATGCAGTCGGGAGATGGGAGAAAGTTGTAGAAAGTCAAAGAAAGTCAACCATCACTGCAGCCCTCCACCAGTCGGGGCTTTAGGGCAGAGTGGCCCGCCGGAAGCCTCTCCTCAGTGCAAGACACATGAAAGCCTGCATGGAGTTTGCTAAAAAACACCTGAAGGACTCCAAGATGGTGAGAAATAAGATTCTCTGGTCTGATGAAAAAAAAAAAAAAAAAGATATTTTAGAGAGAGATATTTTAAGCATAAAATTATTTTTAATGAGGCAAATTCCATCAGTGTCCAGGTTTCCATTCCAGCTTTGTTTAGCTGATATGAAACTTAAGGGAGCTGCTATTGTAAAGATTGAGCAAAAACAGTTTTCAAAGTAACACTAATCCCAGAATTGACTAGTGAAAACTTACCTTATCATTGATGGTGACATCAGCGCCTCTATTCAGTAGTGCTTTGATCACCTTGACGTGTTTGTGCTCTGCAGCCCAAATGATTGGCGTCCAGCCGCCACTGTCCTGGGACCAACAAAGAAGAAACTAAATTTAGGCTACACCGGTCTTGTATCAGTCAGTGTGATCTGACTCCAGTAAGAGGAATATTGTGCACTTTACTTAAATGATTATATACAGGTGCATCTCAATAAATTAGAATATCATAAAACCAAGAAACTTCTCAACTGAAACCAGGATATTAATTCTGCAAGCTTGTGTGGACTCTGATTACATTTTCTTCAGGTTAGGGTCTTCCCATAGACAACCACTCTACCATCTTCCGTCGTAATGTACATAGATACAGGTGCATCTCAATAAATTAGAATATCGTGGAAAAGTCCATTCATTTCAGTAATTCAACTCAAATAGTGAAACTCGTGTATTATATAAATTCAGTACACACAGACTGAAGTAGTTTAAGCCGTTGGGTTTTTTAATTGTTATGATTTTGGCCCACATTTAACAAAAACCCACCAATTCACTATCTCAATAAATTAGAATATGGTGACATGCCACTCAGCTAGTCAACTCAAAACACTTGCAAAGGTGTCCTGAACCTTCAAAATGGTCACTCAGTTTGGTTCACTAGGCTACACAATCATGGGGAAGACTGCTGATCTGACAGTTGTCCAGAAGACAATCATTTGAGTTGAATTGCTGAAATAAATGGACTTTTCCATGATATTCTAATTTACTGAGTTGCACCTGTATACATATTTCTAAAAGCTGTCTGTTTCCTCTCATTCCTTTCCTGTTTTTGATGGCACACATTTCCTGTATACAGTTTATTCTTGTTCTCTTTTCTACTCTTTATTTTTATTCCCATTGTTATTCCCTACTACTGTTGCCTCACAACACAGTGAGACCCTCTGTACAACACAGTGAGACCCTCTGTACCAGAGTCATATTCCTCTATGGTCAAATATACTTAGCAATTATAGACTACTCTAATTTTTTCTCCCTCCAGTGAGTCACATCTGATCTTTTAACGGATATGTGACCAAATCAGATCTGGGTCACTTCCAATTGTGGTCCTAGATCTGACTCGTATCCGATATTTGGCCATGCAACTAAAGTCACAGTGGTAAGAATGGAATTCATGTGGGTTTTTTTTTTTTTCAATGTCTCAGTCCTGCCATCATTCAGAGTCAACACCCCTCTTCAACTTGGAGAAATCAAGTTGGAAGGAAAGTAATGTAAATGTCACAAATGGCATGTTCTTGTACGCACGTGGCTCATATTTCAGTTAAATTTGCACATGCATGTCAAATTTAGGACCTCTGGTTTTCAAATCAAAGCTGGACAAATGTCACATACAAACGTCAATGTGATCAGAATTGAGCATTAAAGCCTGTGTGAGTTTTAGAGGTGCAGATTTAGCTTCCTTTGACCATGAGCCATACTAGATATTGCCCATTTCCAGTCTCTAAAATAAGTTAATCTGCTTCATACTTAACACAGAGTGTGTTGTGTCTATTTCTTGGCCAAAAAGTGAGTATGTGTATCTATCAAAATGTAAAGTATTAATGTGGCCTGAGCTCTTCAATTCAGTTTTATTTATATGGCGCCAAATCACAAGGAACAAGCTTATATGAAACAACCTATGAGATGAGCACATTCAGAGGTGGCACCTCCCTAATCTCCACCATCATTTTGTACCCCATACAGCCCTACTCTTGAATAAAACACTGCCCTGCCTTCTTCTCACTTTAATCAAACAGAAATCTTTGAATTGAAAATGTTCACATGAAGGGCCTTCATGTGAAGTTAGCACAAGTTCTATTTCAACTTATAATATTCAAAATACAAACAAATGGCTCTTGTTCGCGATTAAACATGACTCCTCCATTTTCCTAGCTGCAGATGGAGATCAGCTATCCTAGGTTTTTTTACAAATGTTGAAGCATTCATTCTGTATTTTACCATATTCAAAGGAACATGATCACAGCCCTGCCCTCCTTCCTCATTCTTTCACTCGCTCTTCTTTCGCAGGACAAGATAGGTGATCGCTAAGAGGAACGTGAGGACAAAAGAGATCCAGGCCAGGACATAGGAGTGTCCGTACCCTCCCTGTGTCTCATTGGTGTGCAGCCGAGCTGTGTAGACCGAAGCTGCTATCATTACACACAGGCCTGCAGGAGAAAGAGGGGAATATTGTCACACACTCCCAGACAAGGCAATTAGGAAGTAATTGCTTTTCCTATTATAAGGCTCATGAACAAGGATAATATAGCAGATGGTTCCACTGCCAATATAGCTAATTTCCCAATGATATAAACTCGTCTAACAACACATATCAGAATCTCATTACTTTACTTTGGCTAAGTTTCTTACACACTAGTAGCAGTGCCACTGATGATCTGGTTTATTTAATGGTATTGTGAAAAAAAAGTTCACAAAGCTCTTCCACTTGAGTATTCTCAGTCAATCCTAACCTGGTTGTTGGTCATCTAATATTAAGGAGTCAGTTCACAATCTAGGGGTTGTCTGTCATTTAACAGCCAAGTGGTGCAATCATGCTTCTTTCATTTGAGGACAATATCCATCCATACATTATCTATACCGCTTATTCCTGAATAGGGTCGTGGGGAGGCTGGAGCCTATCCCAGGGTCCACCCTGGACAGGTCTTGAGGACAATCTGAAATTAAATCATTTTAACTGCTGCAGTAAAATTGTAAAATAATCTTTGCTTTTATTTCCACTCATGTAAACTACTGTAACTCTCTTTACTTTGGCATCAAGATACAAGTCATCTGCCTGACTGTGAAAATGCTGCTGCTTTAACAAACTCTAGGAACTCAGACCACATCCCTGCACTAGATCTCTGTGAGTTTTAGAACTGATTTTTTTAACATTCTCTATATGACTTTAAGGGCTTGGCATGGTTGGGTCCCTATTATAGTGTTGATATGCTGAACCACAGCACAGCCTGAAATCCTCAGGCAGAGGTCTCCTGAGGAGACTCAGTTTCTCCTCAATTTTAACTATGTATTCTATTGTCTTGGTTGTTCTATTTTTATATGCAGTCCTGTACTTTGTTATTGTAATGAAATTTGAGTATTTTCACAGTTTTGCTCTATTTTTACTGTTAAGCACTTTGTAACTGTTACCATCTGATTTCGATCACCCTAGTAAATAACTTACTGTCAGACGTAAAGCACTGATAATAACCACAGTATTCTGACACACCAGTAATTAGCACTAGAGCTTAAAACAAGTCATTAGTTGATCCACTAGTGAAAATACAAGTTTGATTATTGACTTTCACTGAGCAAATGTGCAATTTTTTGGCCTTGGATATGAAATATATGAATATTTGCTGGTTTTGTTCTATGGGTAACCTTAATACGCCTGGGTTTTCCAAACAAGCAATTTGGACATGCTGCCTGAAGCTTTAAGTGAAATGGGCATTCTTCACAATTTTTGGAATATGTTACTGACAAATTATTAGTAGATTAATTTAGAAAATCAATTTTTAGTTGCAGAACTTTGTGGCATGTTCACAAAAATGCTTAATATATTCCCAGATTTTTGAACAATCAATCACGTTTCCTACCCTGCTGTATAAAACACACTCTCTCCACAACAGATATTATTTTGGTTTGAGACACATTTGAATGTTTACGCCTGCCCTTAGATCCAATTTGCCCTTAGATCCAATTTCTTGCTGAAAATGCTACAAAAAATAGATAACCTTTACAGGGGCAGTATGTTCTGAAAATGCCATCTCAGTGTGACATTTAATAGAGTGAGGCTGAAGTCTGAGAATGTTCAGTTGTCAGAGTTTTACCCGAACAAAGACTCACAGTCACCTAAGATTAACACAAAGTCACTCAAAGTTACAGTTTACTCTACTGCAGTGACTTGCAGTCATGAGTCATTGAGGCCTAGGACTGATCAGACAAGTTGAATTTGTAAATACACGTCTTCCAGCCCTCTGCCCAGACTAAAATATAATTTTTCTCCCGCAGAACTTGATTTTTCTCATCCATCTTATGGAGAAACTCAATGTGCTTCAGCTGAGCTGTAATAGATTTGGTAGCAAATGTGATATGAATGATCTGAGCAGAGGTCCAGCTCCTTAATAAAACACAGCATAACTTATTTACACTGCCTTTCCTCACCTCCACACAGGAAAAGCTGAGAGGTATTATGTTCAGTCCTATCAAATGAAATTATTTAGTCACATTGAAACATAGCTTTAAACACTGAGGTTTCACATCATTATCCTTTATAGTCAAGCTTTTAACACACACCCATCGTGAAAAAAAATGTACAAAGTCAGCTATAAGAGGCAAATAAATGAACTAATATTTCTTCTGGCTGTAGGTGAGATGTTTAACTCCAGGTTACTTACAGGAGATTAGCTGTAAAATGCCAGTGAAGGTGAACCTCTGGCCTTTGGGCAGGGTGAACAGCTGGGCCACAAACACAAACAAGGCCAGGATGGCAAAAACACAGGCCAGCACTGAGGTGCCCTGCACAGTCTGGAGATACTCTGCAGCAGCATGACAACAAAAGTCACAGTCAGTGAAGGATCAGCAGTGAAACAGATGTAGTGTTCACAGTGAGGCACTGTTCAAGTTCTATGTCTACATTATAACCTCTTAACATCTGGAATCTCTTGTCAGATCAAGTCATTATATGAACTTTATTGTGACAAAGATAACAGCTAACACATGACCAATCCTATTCACAGTGGTGGGAAGTAACTAGGTACCTTTACTCAAGTACTGTACTTAAGTACAATTTTTAAATATCTGTACTTCGAGAATTTTCATTTCATGTTACTTCATACTTTGACTTCACTACATTTTAGAAGAAAATATTGTACTTTTTACTCCACTGCTTTTATTTTACAACTTTAGTTACTAGTTACTTTTCAGAACTAGATTAATACAAAAATAACAGCATAATCATGAAACTTTATTGATCTTCAGTGGAAAAGTCAAAAGATACTCAGCAGAACTTCAAATTAAATGCATATAAACTAGTTAAAACTAGCTCCCCCATAACCAGCTGCAACTTTAAATGTGATGAACACAATAATGCAACAGTAATTATAATCTAATAATATGATAGATATTAATGTTAAATGTGGCATTCTGCTTAATGAGTACTTTTACTTTTAGTACTTTAAGTATGTTTTGATGCTAATACTTTTGTACTTAAGTAACATTTTGAATGCAGGTCTTTTACTTATAACAAAGTGTTTTTACACTGTGGTATTGCTACTTTTACTTCTTCCATCACTGCCTGTTCATAAAAAGATCCAAGGGGTTTACCATCTGGGGAGCTTTTCAGGTTGGTGTAATGCCAGCCTGAGCTTGTCAACTCCCACCTGCCCCACAAGTCTGTTGACTCTGCATTAGTGGCCCACCAAGCCTGAAGACACAATGGGAGACAAGAATGAATACAGATAGAGGATGTCAATCACATACAGGACTTCGCTTGTAAAGGAATATTTGGTAAAGGTTTGGCAGATTTTCTCTCAGCAAATGTTTAAACTTGTGTGGGCGACTGTGGTTCAGTGGGTAGAGCGGTCGTCTCCCAGCTGGAGGGTTGGAGGTTCGAATCACAGTGCCAGCAGTCCACATGTCGAAGTGTCCTTGGGCAAAACACTGAACCCCCACGTTGCCCCCGATGGTTAGAGCCATCGGTGTGAGTTGCCGCCGCAGATGGCTGCCTCGGTTCTGTACCAGAAACAAATTCCTTGTGTGTAACATACTTGGCCAAATAAAGGTGATTATCCTTACAAGGTCACAGTTTTATAAAATATATTGTGGAAAGGTTGGTGTCTCTCTCCAGTGGTATCAGAATCAGCTTTATTGGCCAGGTGTGTTGGACAGGAGGAATTTGACTCTGGTGCAGAGGATTCTCAGTGTGTTTGTACATATCCTTATGTAAGGCAATGGCAAAGGGCAAGTAAGCAATATACCAATATAAGGCTGTGTAATATAACAATGTAAACACTGTAAGCAAAGCAATAAACAATGCAAGCAAACAAAGGAATGTGCACTAAGAAGGGAGGTAAAAATAAGAATGAAAATAGAGTACTTAAAAACAGAAGCTACTATATACAGTATACAGTCTAGATGCATTCGACGGATCTGTTATGTGCAATGTGTTTTTTTTTTCCAGGTATTGCACTGAGACTTATTGACCAGTCATGCTGTAGTGGGTTAGGTGTAGATTTGGGTGGCAAAGTACAGCACCTATTACTTGAGGTGTTTACTTTTGCTTTGCAAAAAGGTGTGGCCTTTGTTTGATATTATAAACTAATAATCCCTATTGCTTTTCCTCTGCAGGCGTTTTTAAATGAGAAAAAAAGAAAAAAAAAATCCACTCACATTATCAATGGTGGCCACCAGGAGCAGGATGATGGTGGTAATGTGCAGAACAACGATTCCAGCCAACATCAACATTGTGGCCCTCTGAAAACTGATATCTGGGGAAAGGCGGAAGGATGCATATCATTATTTATTTTACACGGACGGACTTATATAACAAAGGCTTGTGAGTGAAGGAGCATCGATTCACACACGCACAGCTATCCCAAATAACTAGTTTCAAACAGAAAATATAGTCAGAGGAGACGAGAACCGCTGCATCCAAGTCCGAACTCGTCCCAGAAGTTTTGCAGACAGAGAAATTTTGGAATAACATCAGCTGTCATAGACATCACTGGTCGCTGCTCAGAAATTCAGTAGTTTTGTCCTTCAAAGCTTAGCTCAGCATAATTAACATCCAACTTGTAATGAGCAGAAATGTTTAACGACTCGTTTTTCAGGGCTTTAGACGGTTTCCGTCGACAAGAAAGGCGCGTTTGTTTAGATGGCAATCCCAAATGGGTGCCGCTCTGTTACGCAGGACTCGTAGCCTACTACAGCCAACAACTCTGAAAAGAGCGCGAGAATACGACCCCATTAAATAAAAATAAATACACCACTACCTTACATACCCAAACATAAACACTACAGTCAGGTCAGCTCTGTGTTACAGAGTTTGGAGTCGTGCGTCCTTTTAATACTAGATTTTTGCGCTCACATCCGTACAATTCAAAGCGAGTTTGAAAATCTAAACTACGCCAATGTTCACCTCTCTCAACTCCACAAAACAAAAAACAAACAAACCCCCCAACACACACACACAAAAGTCAAGCACAATAGCGCTTCACTCAGTATGGTCCACAATATATATCTTTACAAAATGTAAACAACGCGGATAAAAGTTACCTGAAAGCGCTTCGGCCTGGGAGTTATTTGGGAATGTGAAACACTGTAGACCCACCCAGCTTCGAATTCACAGCACACATCACCCTGTTGTCTGTCCCCATTCCCTCTCTTTCCTTTCACCAAGCCCCACCCATAAAGTTTCACTTTTTTCCCTTCAATGAAATGTCCAGATGAGCCACAGAGCTTCGGGTTCTCTTCTGCAACGGTGCGTAAAGTGGAGTTAAGTCTAAAAAACATTCACCGCCACACTGAGATTCTTTAACCCCTTAAGCTGCTTCAGCTGTGCAGTTTTTCCTCAAATGCTTTCACTGCAAGCTGCTTCCAGCTGATTTCTTGTAGCTTCATCTTTACCATAAACTGGTCACCCCATCTATTACTGTTCCCTTGTTCCCATGATTAAGATAGATTATTTCTAAACATGTATAGCAGAGCAGTGAAATGTGTGCCTTTTGTGTTTTCAGACCACTCTCATAGACCTGCTGGTACATTTGAAAGCAGTGCAGTGTGTTCTGGACCACAGGCACTGGGTGGGGACCCCTGACTGAAACATCTACAGGAGCAGTCACTGTTTACATGTTGGCATCAGGGTGTGAAATAATTAAAAACAATTTGAAAACATTTTCGGTATGCCTGTCAAGCTTCTTGCACTAGACTCTACTGATACTGCCATCATGGCAATAATACATGTTCGGTTACAAACACACCGTGGACAGGAACCTGTGCAAGAACATGATGGGATCTTGGTCTTATTGATGTGTAGTACCATGATAATCATAGTCTTCCAGCAGGACACTGACAGGTTCTTCACTGAGACATGCAAACAATCACAAACTAGAGAAATGTTAGAGGCAACTAAAGACCATCTTACTTTAGTTTAACCGTCAACCGTCAGTGAGCTCAAACAGAGAGAAAGATGTGTTAACAAATTTAACTGGCCTAATGTGGACACACTCTAATTCCAAAAGGAGGTCCCACGAAAAGCCATGTCCTGGGAAACACACACACACTCGGTGGCCATGAGAAGCAGGATGGACTACATTAACATATTAGACTCTTCAGATAATGACCAACTGTCATATTTTAAACAGATATACCAAATAGGTATTATTACTGGCTGCAGTCAAACAGTACCGTGTTATTGGGGGATTACTTGGCAGATGATTCACATTTAGTAAAGCCTTTTATCACCTGTCTCAGATGAGCGACTGCTTCAGTGATTATGGGTCTTGTTTTTTATAAATAGAAGCTTTATAAAAGAATATTCTGATATTCAGTTATATGCACAGTGTCTGATTAAATACACATGGTGTACTTTCCACCATGGAGTAACAATAGTACAACTTTGGGAAATAGGTTTTTTAAAGCTTATTTTATTGTGCAGAAAATCAAATATTTTTTCATCCTGAGTCTTGATGAGAACATTTGTATGTAGCTATTTATTTTTCTGGAAACCCAGATGTTTAGCTCTGAGACTTGAATGTAATAGTAGTACATGATGTGGTAGTGTTGTTAAAGTCTAATATCTTTGGATCAGCTCCAGTGAAACCAAATATTTCCTTTGGAGTAAATGGATTTCTTACAAGCCATGTGTTACATAACTTTGTGCAAGGCTGACTGGGTGCTGATGGAGCCATTAGTGTAAGTCTTTGTTTTTATTGCTATGTAGTACTGCTGAGACGAAAATCACATGAGAGCTGTATTATTGTCAGAGAGTGTGGGAAAAGAGTAGGGGAAGTATTTTCTCCTAGCACGAAGTTTGAATAGAAGTCCAGATTACAACCATTATATCTGACCCCCGATGATTTGTCATATCCTCACGGTGAAGGCTGAGTGGGTGCTGAGCAGAGCTGGTTCCCCTCGTATGCCACCTCTGAGCCAGTGGAGTTTTCTATCCCAGTCACAACATGTGGGCCTCTGCAGAAGGTACAGTCTAACATCCACTGTGCTGTGGGTATCAACTGGAAAGAAGAAGCAGCAGCTGCTGAAAGGGCCTCTTTGAAGTAGTGACATCTTTCAAGAAGAAATGAGGACAATAGTCTTATTCCTGACTTTGACTACCGTGTTTTGTGTATTTAGTGCACAAATTTAGACTTGGGACATTCTTTATCCACCTAGATATCATCTTAACAGGCTGTAAAATGGGGACATCCTACCACCACACCAGCAAGCTATCTCAGAAACAAATCCATCCTTTCATACCTTCCCTAAAGGGATGGGTATGGACTTTTACACTATTTGTGGACATTGATTAATCTAGAAAATAACTGACACATGAAGCCATAATGAAAATAATTCTAAGATGCAGGTTAAAACAAACTTCCACACTACAACTGTTATATAATCCACCCAAAAGGGCCTTTACAAAAATCACACAAACTGTTACTATTCGTTAGTGGGTTGGAAAAATATATCAGCTAAAAGATTTAGGAAGCAAAGTTGATAACTTCTCTCATTCGTTCAGCTTTACCACGTGGGCATAGGTTTTTAATTGGTCCATTCTTGGTGATTCTTAATTGATCGCTCTCAGGTGGCACCTGCGTGCGTTGTGCGCAGAAAGCAACAGGAATCCGGTGATGTCTTGCGAACAGAGAATAAAAAAAGCTTTCTCTTTATTTGTGGTAGTTGTTTATTTTCACGTTTTTCCAGTTTGCTATTCGGTGAGTTTAGCGAAGTGGGAAAAGTTTAAACAAGACAGCGACGTCCAGCAAGGAAATTGGCGCCGGGATGAGCAGAGTCAGGACGCAAATCTGCGCACATCGGACAAGCCGCGACTCCAGCAGCTTCGGCCTGAATCTGTTGCCTTTTCCGAGGAGCCGTTCCCATATTTCAGTATATGGACACATAATGAAACTGGCAGCAAGTCTGCGCCCAGCAGCTTATCCTGGGTTGTCGGTAATATCAGTGTGGAACCAAGCTCCTCGTCTTTAGGCTCTGAATATGGATATCAAGCAGATGTAACAGGTAACGTAACGGGAAACGCCACATTTTAACATCAACATCTGCTTACATGGAGCGCATGTGGAAAAGCTGTATTGCAGCCTATTGTACTGTCCACCCTGAGTGTTATGGGAGTGCAGTGGAACAGCAGAGCACATAACAACCCAGTCTAGCATCTTCTTTGTTTACATGTCTGTCTTATGTCCTTCAGGCTTTCATGGAGACCAGGGGAAGGTTTGGGGCCCATCGTTTGACTCCGGTCCACGTTCCTCTGAATGGCTGGCTATGAGGCCTTTGGTGCAGTGTGATGATGATGCCATGACCTTCACTGCCTCAGGTCAAGGATTCGCACATCTGTTAGTGGACAGAGGTAAGGTTACATATCGTTCCTCTTGAAGGTGTTTGGACTGGTGCTGTTTCAGTATATCAGGATTAGAATATGCAAATAAAAGGAAATGAAAGAGTCTCGTTTCTTACAAATAATATAGAAACTTGAGGAAAGTGAGAGTGTGAATGTAATGCATAGTTTCATTGTTTTCCTTTCTAGTTTATGTAAAAGAGAATGAACAAGTAATTTACTTTACATTATATGCAGTGTGGTGTACAAATGTTGAAACTAGTGTACTGTTGATTTCTAAAATGTAGCTAGGGCTGCAACTATTTTCATTTTCTATTAACATGCTTATTTTATCAATTAATTGATTGGTTGAGCGGTAAAATGGTGAGAAATCAAAAATCCCTAGAACACAAGTTAAAGCTTGCTAGATGCTTAAACCATTTATGAAAATAGTAAATGTTCTGTAGACTAATTAATTAATCACCAGTTTATTTCAGCACTAAAATCAGCTGTTTACCATTTTCTCTCTGCAGGGGGATCCTCTCCCATCTCCCTGTTCCAGTTACCACCATACTGTGGGTACTCAGTCAGGATGTCATGGAGTGACCTTGAGGTGATGGTGCCATTCGATGCATGTTATGTTACACATGAGGTAACGGCAGCAGATGCTGTATATTTCACCGGCAGTCATACCTGTGCCCTGTGTTCATCACCTCCTTGTTTCCCTTTTGTCAGAATGGCAGTCATGTGCTGCCCCTGCTGTGGTGGGGCAGCCCACTGAAGCTCTCCTGTCCAGTGCAGATGTTCACTCCTGCCCCTTCCTCATCCCCCTCTACCCTGTCAGTCTTCTGCTCCCCCTACAGCATGGCGGTACAGACACATGGGCAGGAGCAGGATATACTGCTGCTGGGAGTCATGGGTATGTTCACTTTAAAGGGGGTTTAATGATGAGTTGTTCCATAAATTGCTGTCTCTGTGCTGCCAGGAGTAAAATTCTGGTGGAGATGTATACTGATTATTAATGACTTACTTAATTCACTTGAAGGTAGTTGAATTTAAATTTACTGAGTGTTATATCGACTGAGTGAGATGTGATAAAAACTTTGCAGTGAATGGAGGTTGGGGACCATTTGTATCTGAAGAGTGTGCGTATCATGTCCACTCCCAGCCTGAGGAGCTCACCTTCTACATCCCCTACAGTGCTCCTTGTATCACTATCGGAGTAAGTTGTCTAATTTTAATGCATTACTGTGAGAGGCTGTTGGCTTGTATAAATAGTTTTTTTAAATGTGATTCTCTTCTTTCAGGACAGCCTGTATGTTCAGTTTATAACAGATGATCAGGGATACAAACTCTCCTGTCCAGTCCCTCCACAGTTTCCATCCGCCCCCTCTCCGCCCTCTTCTCCTACTCCATCTCCTGGTGACCCTCAGTTTCCCTACTTTCCAGATGTTGTTAGTCATGCACTCCCCACTCCTCCTCCCCCTCCTCATATTCCAGACTACTCATACCCTGGGCTCCAGTACCCCCAGCTTCCCCAGGTCTATCCTCCTGGTCCACAACCCCCACGCCGCCCCCAGCCCACTTCTGACAGTCCTCCAGGGCACCAGCCCCAACAGCAGCAGTTCCTCTACCCCACAGGGCTTGAAGAGTTACCCAGCTCTCCTGGAGAGCACCCAGAGCTTCCTTCCCTTTATTACCAGCCTTCGTTGGTGGATCAAACTACATCTGTCTCAAATCGTAGCCCAACTCAGGGTAGTCATTCCCATCAAGCTTATAAATTATCTCCCAGGCCTTCTCAGTATCCCTCTGCTCTGCCTTACCCCTATGACGAGGGTCTATTTTATCCACCTAGTTTTTACAGCTCTCACTATCCTTATGGACCAGTTTCCTACCCAAACCCTGATCTTGAGGTGCAACCACTTGCTGCTTCACATCCAACCACCAGGATTACGGTTCCCAAAAAACCGGACAGTCCCCCTTATCCCTCTGGCCAGTTTTACCCCTTTTACTTCCCATCTCTTCTGGCTGCCAAAGAGAAGCCTCCAACCATTCCTCAGAAACTCACAGCTTCACAAGCCACCTGCCCCCCTGGCGCCACTCACAGCATGTGTACCTACTATACTTATCCTTATTATCCCCATCATCCTCTCCACTACCCTCCTGTGCCCCAGTATAGAGATACTCAATTACCAGTGAGAAAGCCTTCAGCCACCACTACTTCTGCTATTATGACTGCAACAGTTCATCCGACTCCAGAGATGCACCACCTCCGGTGTCTAACAAGGAGAATGGTCATCTTCCTGCCTTTTGCTCACCCAGACTCCATCCAGGTCAGAGGTCAGCATTTGTGCTTTTTTTTTTTTTTTTTTTTTAAACAAATATATAAAATATACAGGGCTGCAACTAATAGTTTCATTATCAAACATTCTGCAGATGTTTAAAATGTTAAATAGTAAAAAAAGAAAAAGTTAATAGTTTTCCAGAGCCCAGTATTGTGTTTAAATTCCTAAATTTGTAATTTATTCCTTTTAGTGTCCTTTATGTCAAAGTAAAGAAACAAAATCTGAGAATGAGAAGGACCAGTGAGCATTTGCTATTTTTAGTTAGCAAAATGACTTGAATAACTGACTATCAAAGTACTTGCTGATTATATTTCTGGGGATGTAATTTAATCTGAGCGATCTCCTGTTTTCCAGGGGCTGTCTTGAATATTGAAATGCAAGTCAGTAGAGACACTGGAGAAAACTACAGAACCTGACAGTTGTAATGATGACTATATTGATTTGGTCTATTTAAGCATCTTAAATGAACTGTTGCTGATTCCAGATCAGCATCTACAGTATAATGTTAATCAGGTTGTTGTTTGCTCAGACACGCCGGATCACTCTTTCTAAAGGAAAGTATATGAAGTTTGTTACAGATATCAGAGATCTAACATCACTGATTCTTCCATCAGACCACATGAAGAAATGGCTGTTCCTCTTCAGCGTCTCTCCGCTTTGTGGGTACAGGCTACAGATGGGTCACGGCCCTGGAGTAATCCTTCACTCTCCTCTGCCTGCCTGCCACAGCAAGTCACGGGTGAGATCCTCCATAGTGCTTTGCCACTGCCTGTAAATGTGTCATCACTTGTATAACAGTTTGACTTAACCCATTTTAAAGGAATGATAAAAGATCGTTTCTTTGCTGCAACACAAACTTCAAAATTCATGTTTGACTTTGTAACCAAAGTATCATGAAATGCCATTGTGTGAGCTTTGTTGGTACCTGACATACTCACAGTTAACATGCCAAATGTAGTATGTCACCATGTTCTTTACCTTTTTAATATAATGGATGTTTGTCCTGGCAGCCATATAAATACCTTAACTTAAATTGCAATAACAGGATTTTAGTGTTTATACAACAGAACATACAAGTTCAATAAAGAAGTAGTATTATAATGGTACCATTATAGTCACAAAGCCTAAATGATAAAAACATTTCCTGGTTTTGGTTGAGCTGTGTGGTCAACTGTAGTTGTGGTGTTGTACTGGATTATATTATGCTGTAGTAATAATCTAAGCATCTAAATTGTCTAAAAACCTCTTCACCGTATTGTGTATATAAAAAATGCCTTCATGTAGTACAACACAACTATCCCAGCTTGCTGTTGCTGTTGGTTTGCACCAGTTAGCAGTTTATTACTCCACTCCTGCTTGTATATGGAACAAAGAATAACATTCCCCCCAATCAGCACCTCACATTTATGATTAATCCCATATGGAGTGTATGCAGCATTGGCTCTGTATGCATCTGTACTGGGGAGAGTTTTTATGGACTGTGCAACACAGATGGTAAGAACACATTTTTTTGCAATTTGAATTCAACTTTCAGACTTTTTTTTTTTTTTTTTTTGAATACAGGAGCTGGAAACCATGCTTAGTTATTCATTGTGATTTATTGATCTCATTCTCTTTAGTCTCCCGCGACCATTTCCTTAACTCTGAGGTTTTGGGACCTGTCCATGGCGCAGTATAGGACTGTGGACCTGCAATGCCCATATGAAAGTACCCCTGAAACTCCTGAAGTGGTTAGCCTACTAGCCTCCCCTAGCCCCCCCAGTACCACCAAGGAGAAGATCAGCCCATTTGTTGTCCCAAAGCCTAAAGTGTCCTGCTCCTACCATCGAATGACCGTGGAGCTCCCCTCTGGACCCATCTCTGGAATTGTTGTTAAAGGTGTGTGTGTGCATGCAGTTATATATTTTAGTGTATATTTTCCAAGTGCATATGGTTGCCATCAGGTCTGCCTGAGCTGAATTTTAACTTGGGTTGGGGGGAGGGATGGGAATGGGAGTCACCATGCTGAGAGCTATAATTGTGCCATTTAAAATCTACACAAAAATATCTCATTGTATGGTCTGGCATGTACTTTCTCAGACATGAAAGGGAACCAGATGAAACTCCAGGATGCCCCAAAGCACTGTGGGTATTCTGTAATCAAAGGCAAGGATGGCCAAATCCGTTTGAGTCTCCAGTTACACTCACGTTGCCGCATGAGTGTGCAGGCAAGTATTGACTCAGATCTCATGCTGAGCACATGACCTTCTGTATAATTGGCCATTTGTTGTACCTATTAATGCTTGTAAAAATACTTTTCTCTGAAAGGGCCAAATGTACATCATCACTGTTGTCTATATGACAGTAAATGGGCAAAGGGAGGCTCAGCTTTCCTGTCCACTTGTCATCCCAGGGTCTGGAAAAGGTAGGTAGTTTTTATTTTTACATCTCTGAAAGGCTATTCTATTCATCAAAGGCTTTTTTTTTTTCTTTCCTGGACATTCAGAGTTATTTTAACTGTGGGGCTGACATTTGTCGTGCTGTCCCTCAGAGTGCGAGCTTCCTAGCGAACAGCGTCTCCCCTGCGGACCCAGCTCTGTATCCCAGCCACAGTGCCTCTCTGTGGGCTGCTGCTTCAGCAAGTACCCCCCTGCCTGCTACTACCCCATGGATGGTGAGCTGCAGTCTGCATCCCCAGTGGCATTTTCACAGCCCTGAGCCGAGTAGACTTTAGTTATTTTGGGTAAAGAAATGGAAGTGCTACAGTGCAGTGGAAGGATGTGCGGAGAGGCTTATTTAGGGCCAGCACAGTATGATTCAAGCTGGGACTGACACAGAATGTGAAAAGGGTATAAGATACCTTGGGTCTCATTATCAGTTGCCTCCTGAGATTTTTGACCTTTTGTTCATCTGACCTTTACAGAACTATGTGTGTGTGTGTCCTCCTCCAGAGTGCACTATTGACCGCCACTTTGTCTTCTTGGTGCCTGCCACCCTCACGGAGCCCCCTCTTTCCCCTGCCTTTCTTACCACTGCTGACAACTCCGCCTGCAAACCTCAGAGAGTGACTTCTGAATATGCCCTGTTCAAGATCCCAATAGACGGCTGTGGGACACGCAGAGTGGTGAGCTTTAATGAACCTTTCCTAGAATATTGATGTCAAGTCTTGGATTGGACAAGTCTGGTGAGATTCTGTTTTTCTTAATTGTCAGCAAAAGCCATGAAAAGGACAAAATAAACTGTGAACTTGTACTGAAATTATTTTCCTGTATATCCAAAGCTTGATATAGCTATAGTAATTCCTTTGTGCCATAGGAGCCCCATTATTGTCCAGAAACTGGGTAACATCCCTTTTTATTACTGCGAACATAGGGATTATTATTATTTTAGTTTATTGATCCATTTTTAAATAACTCTGTAGGAATCAGTGGGCTGGGATTTAGGTGACAGTCAAGAGAAACCATAAAACAAACATTTTTGGTTTTGATCTGTTTACGGGACTTGTCAGTAATCAGAAAAGTCTTTAATAACCCAAGTGTTATGCTTTAAGTGGCCTGTCCCGCTCAAATACACTAAGTGGATCATTTAGTATTTACCTAGTGTCCATATACTAAACTGTATGTCTGATTCTGTCCTGACAGACGGTGGGCAAAGCAGTGATCTATATGGTGGAGGTTATCAGCAGGTTTCAGGCAATCAGCCTCAACTATGGCACCATCACAAGAAGTTCTCCTGTCAGGTCAGAACATGTTGCTCAGAGTAACCATGTTCCCAGAAGTGCTGAGAGGATGCAGGGGTTTTGTTTTAACAAGAAAACAGACCAGTTAGTTTATATTAGTTAGTTCATATTACATTTTAATTTGTCTATTAAAGTAGTTTTTGATTTGATATGGTGAACTTGTTACCAATCACTTGGTTATTTGCGCATCCAGCAGTCATGGAGGAAAGTTATCGTTATTTTGGAGTCTTGTTTCTGGGTGCCTGGCAAATGTAAGTCCAATATTCACATCTCTGATTTTGGTCTCTACTGACTCCTGAGGGAAATCTGCCTCATTAGCTGCTAAATGCGCCGCTATGTTCATCAGCTACTCTTGCTGCATTTCCACTATTGAAACCTAACGAGCGGTATACCCCGTACTTCGCCCTGCTTAGCCTCCTAGGTTGTCATGCACCCTCCTGCTTTTTTTCCCCCCCACTGTATTCTCTCTGTGTTGGTCTCTGTTTATGAGGGCTGAGCAGAGGGAGGACAGATGATGTGAAGGATCACTCCATAGTGCAACAATCAGCCAGTAACTGAAACCCTACGAGCAGTTTATCAAGCAGAACACAGACTTGCAGAAATGTGACGTCTGCACTGCTTTGGCCGTGGTCCGCTCACTGAAGTCCTTGTTTTACCTCCAGACCTGTATAAGTGCCTCTTCACACAGTGTCCTTGTAATGATTGAAGTGTGAAGACAGGGACATTTAACCAATCACTGGTGACTGCCCTCTCCTGTATTTCTTGTCAGTTTTTATGCTCACCAATCAATGATGCATTATTAGCACATGTTCTGTCCCATTGTCAGGTTGTTAGTAGAGTGCCACTATCTGCCAGATACTGTCCTGACTGTGGGCTACCTGGTTAAAACACCTACTCTTGGACCTGGAGTTCAGACCCAAGGGATATTTGGAGTCCAGCTCAGGATTGCCAAAGGTAAATTGTGTTCATTTCAGCGCTAACAGCTGCTTAGCATTGTGGTTGTGTCAAAGAACACGAGTGTATGCCAGGTAAGGATGGATAGAACCTAATGATTAAATAACATCTCAAATTTCAGGGCCACATGAGTACTTAACATCTTTACTGACCAACTGTAGAACTCCTACCCAGTTTTGAGTGAGTGAAATATGCTGTTATTCAAATACACCTCTTCTTGTCCCAGATGGCCAGTACAGCAGCTACTACCCTCAGTATCACCAGCCCCTGCAGATGCTGCTGGGGAAACCCCTTTACCTGGAAGTGCGGCTGCTTAACGCCCCGGATCCCAGTTTGGTGCTGCTGGTGCACTTCTGTGTGGCCTACCCCCGCTCTGGAAATGCTGTGTGGGTGCTGCTTTACAATGGGTATGTTGAAACATCTCCTGTGTGACAAGAACATCAGCAGAAAAAATAAATAACAGTTGAGTTCAGCAGAGGAGGGAATTACTGTGGCAGGAACAGAGATGAAGGTTCACATTTGTTTTTCACTGAAAGGAGAGAACAGGGAAAGTAAAGGGGAAGGATTTTTTGAGACTTGTTATCTAATTGGCTTACTAATCCAGTGTTACTTCCTAGATGTCCAAACCCCTTGGATCCAGCCCTTAAACAGGCTGTACTGCCTGACCCTCAACCACCGTCTTCTCCGGGTCAGACCCGTCGTTTCACCATCAGCACCTTCCAGTTCCTTCCTGATGGTGATTTCAAGGATCTGGATGAAGAGGTAAGGATGAGCAGCTATCCTTAATCTCTGTAAATAATGATTGGAAAATATTAGAGATGTCTAACTATTATTTTTCCAGTTTAAGACATTTTGGTAGTATTTTGATCTTGGTGTATGGACTTTAAACTGTAAGTCTGGTTGAAATGTTCTACACAAACATTGGATTTGATATCAGGAAATCTTTAGGCATCTTTGGAAATGCACACACTTGCTTGTCGGTGTTGGATGAAAAGTTCAGTACACTCACATCTGTGGGATAAATATGAAGCTACAGCCAAGGGATGTTTGATGAGCTTAGCACAAACACTTGAACATGGAAATGGCTAGCAGAGGGTTGTTTTGTTCCCTTTGGACAGAACGAAGTTGGATGTTCCTCCTCCTTTTTTCTGGTCTTAATGCTAGGATAATTGCTAGTTAGCTGCTGGCTATAGCCTCATATTTGATGGACTGGCAAGTGTGATTTCAGTCTTCTCATCTAAATCTCTAGAAAAAAGCAAATTATTGTATTTCCCATGCCAAACCATTGCTTTTTGCATTCTTCTCCTGCAGTTTTTTTTGTGTGTAATAAGGAAAAAAAAACCTTCAACATGCAGCTGTCTGCCTTGAGTGCATATGAATTTGCGACCTGGTAATTAATAAAGTCTATATTACTCTATTTTATTCAGCAAACTCATACAGTGGAAAATTCAAATGTTGGTGAACTGCAGATTCTGGTAAAATCTCCAGTTGCCAGCAGCTGTTAGTCATAGTACAATGTGCACACATTTGGACTAGTGCATGAAATGTTGCTCTACTTTCCCTCTCAGATCTACTTCATGTGTTCAACTGAAGTCTGCTCGCCACGTGATGGGCCTTGTGTTGAGGGTTGCTTTGGCCAACGACAGTGAGGAAAATTAGCTTTCTGTCCTGAAACCACCAACCACACCCTCGTGAACTTTGTGAGGTCACATGAAAACGCACATGAACAAGCCCCATTACAACATTCCTCCTCACTGCAAACAGCTTGAGCCAGTAGTGGCTACGGTTGCATATGACAGCAGGACAACGACTTGTTAATGAGGAGAGTATTGAATTATTTATTAAGATGGATCCATTTCCTGTTTTTCAGTTATCACATGAAAGATGCTTGATGTTGGTCAATATGACAAGGTAGGTAGTACTATAACTGTGCACTTCTGTTAAAGTGCACCAGGTATATTTGTCCACTTTGACCATATCTTGTCTGGTCTCCTCATTTTTAGGTCTCAGACTTCACTTGTTTAACCACCAATAAAAGCTCCTTAAGGACATTGGGTGCTTGAGTGTGTTTATTTCAAAGCTTGCAACCACTAGGTTTTGCAGCACTGTCAAAGTGGGAGGCAGTAGTTTATATGAACACTTGGCCCTCGTGGACTGAGCCCTACCGAGACTTGTCTTTGTTCCCTGCCATGTAAAACCTACAGTAGTTTTACAATATTAAGTATCTATTTGAACAAGATAACTGAAAATGAGAAGGTTTATACCATTCTGGCATCTGTTAAAGACAAATAGCTTGGCTAAACCCAAAAACTGGAAACGGAGGAACAGTAACCCTCTGTAAAATACTGAATTGTTGTTTTCACTTGTTGCTTTTTGTGCAGTTTAAACAAAGATGCAACATGTTAATTGCTGAGCTTTAGAGATGTTAGTAGGTGGTTATTTTGCTGCCTTTGGGAAGAGCCAGTGGGTACTCCTTCTAGTTTTTACCCCAAGCTAACCATCTCCTGGCTGCAGCTGGTACAGGTAAAAGCCAACCCCTTTCAAAGCTTGTGAATCAGGATTTTAACCTCAGCTTCTCTTGTACTGTAGCATGCTGCAGCAAGTTAGTTACCTTTGAGGTATATCCTCTCATGGTAGCCTTTGACCACTGGGTGTCATCCCAGCAATAAAAATGCCAGAGGAACATAAGGTATTTCATGCTGCATGACTCACAGCCGGGCTTGTGTGAAGACCTTGGCCTGTGTATGGGTTGTGTAATGGGTTAGGAATGAAATCTTCCAGAGCTGGACCTTCTGATAAGTCCACCCCTTCAATGTTATGCCATTTAATGTGAACACATTTCGAAGGCATGGAAAACTAAAACTCAAGCTTTTTATATATAGAGAGAGAATTTGGCAGTAGTGGAAATGTAAAGAACAGAAGAAACACTTGATTTAAGCATTTGGGGATATAGTGTGTGTGTGTGAGAAAATGACTGCTTCTTAAGGGCCCCCACTCACACACACACACCTCCCCTCGGTGAAATGTATAGAAGCACTGCGGCACACTGCGTGTATCTGCAGGCTGCATGGCTGCCTGGCTCAGCGTTCAAAGGGAGAGCGGAAGATAGGAGGAGGGGAATGACTACAGCAAGAGAGTAGGAGGAGGGAGGGAGTGAGGGCAGTTTCCTTTCTGTAATACGCTGCAGGAGCACACCGGGAAAACGGAGAGAGGAAAGAAAATAATAGGCGAGAGAGAGAGAAGGAAACACCGCTGCTACTGTGTTCGTCCGTTTGTTGAAAGGCAGAAATCGTCGTTTTGTGCTGCGCGCTAACATGGGGGGGAGAGAAAGCTCCTGACGAGGATTGACTTTCAGAGAACCTCTGCTCCGTGGTGTAAGAGTGTGGCCAATAAGACGGAGGAGAAAGGCGACAGGGAAGACATGTTGAGGGGCTTTTCTTCTTGAGGTTGCGGTAGGATGTTGGTGTGCTTTTAAAAGCAGACGACTGTCGTAGAGAAATTAAAAGCAGATGGAAAGTGGCTGGTAGGCTGTGCGCTATTGTTTTGACCCGTGTTTATTGAATTGGTTTGTTGTGATCTGAAATATCGTAGGCCTCACAGCCCCGCAGTAAATTAATACACGGTCAGCAAACAGGGGCTCCATAGCTGGAAATGAACCTGACAAGCTTGTTTATGTTTTAGCGGACATTCTGTTTGTGTTGAGTCACTGTGTTTGCAAGGGTGGTGTTTATGAGCCTTTTGTTTTTTTTTTAAACAAAACGCGGCGTGTGCGTTACATTGCTCAACCAGTGAACCAAAACAGTTCCACACACATCAACTCTTTAGGGGGTCATACAAAGGCCCAGTAGAGAAAACAGTAAAGGCTGCTTGGCAACGTTAAAAGACGGGTTTAACTGCATAGACAAATCCACCACAGGTTACCTTTACGCACAAGGTGCCTCAGATTGGGTTTATTTAAGCCCCAGTTTAGCTCCAGAGCGGGGACTGGATAATATTTTCTAGATGTTAATGTCGACCGACGTCGCATCCATCATGCTGCCTGTGTCCCGGGGTCTCATGGACCGGGATAGAGAGCTGGACATGGCCGGGGTGCATCCGAACCCGGGCGGCGCTCCTGCAGCTGTTCGGGGCATGAAGCGCGGAGACCCGGAGCCCGACGGACAGACAGCGGCGGCTCTGGTGGACTCAGCCGGGGCGGAGTGCAAGCGGCCCAGAATCGACGGCTCTGGAGGAATCGGCGAGGTTGGCCAGGTGAGGAGGAAAATGTTTTTCCAGAATCTGCAGGCACGACACCTCAGGCGAAATAAAAGCGTGGTGCAAGACATTTATCTTAAAAATGCACATGAAGAAATTCTCTAAGCTATTATACTGTGGTTGTATTTGTGATCTCTTCCCTTGTCTAAGGAGTAGATGTATGCAGATAGCTGCAGCAGAGAAACCACCAATGGGCCTAGTCCGTTCCCAAGCACTGCGGGAAATACCCACTTCTAAGAGGGGATTGCAGAAATGCACTTTGAGAGAATGTACATAATCCATGGTGTCCACTGGGCTGTCACATTGCTGCTCAGACATCCTGTGGCTTACAAACTCTCCAGAGAGCATCGACTGTTTTATGAATATCTGTAAAGCCAGCAGAGAGCAGAGAATGTAAACAAACTTGACCTTTATTATGCAAAAGACCCTCCTGCCTGTGGAATAATGGTGCGGACAACATTTGGTTGGAATGGAAATTGATGTCAGCATTTGCCTGTGTGATGGCTGAGTGGGTGAGGGAGGACGGAGGGGGGTATTTGAGGTAATCAACAACCTCCAGTATTATTGGAGGGCAATCAGTCCAAACCTAATCAATGTAATTACCTTGATTATCAAACCCTGTATCAGCATTAGTACTGCAGTGTTTGGAATAGCCTCTCATTCTGCATTTAAACAATTTCCTTTGAATGTCAGTGAAACAAGTTTGCTGCTTTGGCTCACCAGCAAATATTTCCTAATAGAGCATCACTGGAGAGCAAGAGGACACCAGGGACATCATCGGGGTCTATCATGAAGGGTGAAGCACTCCATTCTGAGATAGAAAGCTAATACTCCACCGTGAAAGCCCTGGTAATGGAGGTGAAGTGGCTTGTTTGCTCCTGTTTGGACAACTAAATGGCTAGCTTTACATCGCCGTGCTGTCTGCGAGTGCTGACAGACAGGCTTAGGAAAGTAATGCACTTAAAACAGATGTGAGTGGAAGAGCATGTGTTTGTGTGGGAGGAGGAGTGCAGATCAATAGCTTCATCCGCCAAAATGTATTGAACATGAGCTGGCTGGACAGTCCGGAAATGAGAGTTGGTGAAGAGTTCCCCTCTCCACCCCCCACCCACCAAGCTCAGTTGGTGCAGGAACAGATTTGCCCTATCACTGGCAGTAAAGGGGCTTTGTTTCCAGCTAATGGGATCACTTCTCATACTGGAGGGGGCATTATAACCACACTGATCTCTGAGATCCTTATCTAATGCAGAGGATTTATACAACACACCTTCACATACACACACTGGTATGAACCAGTAAATAATCTTAGATTCTGGACAAAAGGTATTTGGAGGTGTCATCTTGGACTTTAAGAAGCTGTGGTAGGCATTTTTTTCAGATATACACTAAATGCTCAATCAAGATAATACAATCCAAATTCAGTTTTAGTTGTAGCCCTGTATTTATGTTTGTATGGCTCCAAAAGCTGGATACCAGGTGTCAGTTTAAGGTTGACCTTTTAAAAAAAGATTCCACTACGTAGACTATTTTTCCACTGTGGATTGTGCCAGGATAACATCTCCCTCTGATCCCAGTGTGTATATACTGTAGAAAAGTATTTTTTTTTTCCCCCCCTCACCCGATGACACCATTTATATTCTGGAAGTAAATTGGGTTGAGTGACATTCAGTTTTCCTACTTCTTAAATGTGAGCACTCAGCTTTCCAAGAAACAAAATCAGCTTTCCAAGAAACAAAGCTGCACACTTATATAAAGCGAATCTTCAGGGGGAGGGGGAGGATGGAAAACATTACATCAAACCGATCAATCCCTGCCCCTTGGAAAACACTCTTTTCCTCCATTCATCTTTTTTTTTTTAAACAAATATATTGCGACATCACAGGAAGAGTTGAACTCTGACCTGTTAACTGGGGCAGTGGGGTGTGGTTGTGATAAAGAGCAATGCTTTGTATCACTGCAGCCTGATAATGGGATCTTTGCCGTGTGGCCATTGACACGGGTGTTTTTCTCATTAGCCGGTAGGGTGTGATGTCATCACAGCATGGGGTGGAAATGTTCATTCAAGTCAAATCAGCAAAGTTTGAGCAGAGCAGCAGTGCAGGTATAAATGAATTCAGAATGCAGTGTATGACTCAACGCTCAACAAGGGGAAGGAAAAAGCTGAGTGCATTCAGTGTTATTATTTCAAATGTTCGCTGCCGATCTCCTGGTGCTCACTCAGTGTTTGTCCAATAGTAAATAGATTGTAAATGAACCTTCAGCTATCTGCTGAACAGGCCATCAGCTGGAGTGCTCCCAATAAAAAGAACAACACCGTATGAGTCCGTTTTGCATTCCGGTGGAGCACCAGGGAAGTCCCGCATCTTTCCGGCGCTGGGAGAGTCTCAAAAACACCCTGCGTCTCTAGCCCCAGTCAGATTTTGGGAAAAGACGAGAGGAGGTTGTCTGCTTCGATATCCATCTAGCGTGCTGCTGAGCGGCCCGTGTTTTGTTGTCACTCTGCTTAGGAACTGGGGCTCTCTCTGACCTAATAAGGGTTTGCCTGGGGTGACAGTGCTGAGGACAAATGACTTGACTAGGACATTAATGTAGGTGGATCACTGCTCTGTACTTTCATCTCAGGCCCTGCACTGAAATAGAATGAAAACGTCAGCAAGAAATATGCACTCTTGCTGTGGGTTCAGAATATTTATTTAGTTTTTGAGCTCCTGTTTCTGTGTGATAAATCACCAGCAACGGGTCTGTTGACTGAATCGTGTTTGGTGCTTTGCTCTTGGGGCAGATGTAATGCGCTTTAGGTTTGGTTGTCCTTGCATCTTAACTGCAGTTTAGTGATTTATATAAAATTCATACTTATCATCTGGACACCATCATTTCTTTGTCTTCCGGCAAATTCAGTCCTATTGTGGTCTTTTTGTGTAGAAAACTAATATTTGGGGTGAAAATGACATCTCTTATTTTGCTCAATCAGTATACCAGTTGGTACTCCATTTCTGTATACATGCTATATTTGTTGATCATTATGCTAAGAATATTTATAGCTCGGCTTCAATGAGAAGGCACTTAGCTAATTGGATGGAAATTAGCAACAATTTAGAATTAATTTTAAAAAAAGATTAAAAACTTGGAATACCTGCAGTAGCTTTTCAGTGTGACGATTCACTTCCTTTTCTTTGTGTTAGGCGCCTCCATAATACACTGAGTAAACTGAATGTCTTGGTTTTAAACCGCTGGTGGGTGCATTGAAAAATGCAATCTGAACACGTCATCCTGTGCGCCAGGAAATTGTTTTGAATATTTTTAAATGTTTTCTCACATTTCCTAGACCAAAGAAAGAATCAAGAACATAATTTGCCGTTTAGTCAGTACTGATGATAATTAGTTTCTGCCCTCTATATAAAGGTGTCTGTATAAATCTGGTCATTGTTACATTGTTTGTTCAGCTGATTTTATGTTTCAACTGTACAATTTAATGGATGCCAACTAAAATATCAAAAATCAAATTTTCCACTACATATGAGTATCGCCGCTGGTCCCAGAAGTCCAGTATCGGTCTGGTATCAGTGGAGTGATGGCGCAATGAAATAATAGGGTAATGATGATGGGCAGTTATGTTGAGCACCAAATAATTACTAACAAATGCTCTCCACTCAGATCTGAAATGCTGTTAACTGCTGGATAAAGATAACAGTTTAATCTTGTGCACATCAGTGTAGTGGACGTAAGTTTGGTTATGTTGCATGTGATTTGCTAGCCTGTGTGGTTATTTGTAGCGCGACACCTGTCAAGCCCACTTCTAAATCCTCCAGCCAACATGCTCCTGAAAAGCCATGTGTACGTTTACTTTGGAAAGTCAGAGGGATGTAAGGTTTGTTGAGGAAAATAAACTTGAGATTGTCTGGCCAACTTAGCACATAAGTGCTTTGTGGGTGAAATGGATTCACATCCTCTTGAGTGTATGGAGTGTCCTGCTTTGCGCCTAGGTAGGATGACTCTCAGAGCAGTGAAATGTAGTTCTTCTTGTCCTCCTCAGAAGAGCAGCAGTCCCAAGGCATGATAGGAATAGATGCGAGTCTTGTAACCAAATTAGAGAACACACAGACGCCTGCCGCCCCCGCTAGGTTTTGGAGATAAGTGGCGGGGTTCATGTGTACGTGGGTCGCTCGTCCCTCCTTCCCCTTCCTCCCTTCTTTGCCATCTGTTGGCTGAAGTCATTTTGTTATGGCCTCCTGATTATTCACCTGGTCTTCCCCTGCAGTTTCTTCTCCCCCACAACCCCAAAACACCACCATTACCACCCCCCAGACCAGAATGAGTTGTGCTTCTTTCAACGCACACAGAAAAGCTAAAACAGGAGCCTTGAATAATCTGCTCCAAGTATGAAAAAGCTTTCTTTTGTTCTGTGTAAGTGACTGTGGAGTTGAGAGTGAGACTGATACACACTCCTCATGACCAGCCTCCATGCAGCCCCCCCCCTCAGTCCTCCCAGTTACTTAAGGAAATTAAGCACATGAATCTGCTCATGTGTGAGTCACTGTCTTTGCTCCCTCCATCTTAATTCTTTGCTGTCCATTTCCTGTTGTGTTTCCAGCTCTGGTTCCTCCCTCAGTCTCATGCTCATATGAAGTCCCGATGTTCCCAGATGTGTGTTTTAGCAACACTATTCCCCTTTATTTAGGCACAGTGTGCCACCGTGTACATCTGTTTTTGTCTTCTTTTTTTTTTGCTCTTGTTTTGATCCCCTTCTGTTCCAGACCAACAGTATGTTGTGTTTAGAGTTTGGCCTTGCTGTAAAATCAGGTTTATACTTTATTTATGTTATTCAAGCCTCTAAGAGGTGATTCATTATTTAGAGCTTCCACCTCCCAACAGCCAGCTCACTAAGTACATTTTTGGCTGTGAGACTAACACAAACTGCATTTTTCAGTCACAAAGATGCTTTCGTCGGCCCCCTCCTCAACCAAGCTGCTTGCATTTGGAAATGTTGTGTAGTTTTAGTGAAATGGCCCCGTGGGGTCTAGAGTTAGATGGCTACAGTATTAATCAGGCGAACTCAAACTGTGAAGCGTGCAAAGTAAAGTGTTCCTCCTGGGGACAGAGCAAACAAGGGACATTGGTTCCAGATGAAAGGAAAATCAGGGGGAAGGACAGGGAACAGAGAGAGAGAGAGGGAGGAGCTGGGTTGTTTTCTAATTTAGTGATATGAAGCCAGAGACAGGCAAGTCTGTTTCCCCCCTTCAAAGCATGTCGTCATTGCTGTGAAAATCTTCCTTTTTAATGGAATACATTAGCATAAAAACCAGAACACAGTGTTATGAGGCGGAATAATGAGTTGAAATCTATTTTAGGGACATGATTTACGGACATGATTTCTGCTTAATATATGACTCCAAACAAATTACTTACTTTGCGTCTTGTTTAAATGGAATTACTCACCAGGTGTTTGACGTAGGCACCTCTTCTCTGCACAGCTGGAACACTGTATTGGAGAATGCATCAGGGCTCATGATGCCATTTCACACCAATGGACTTCATGCTCACTGATACTCCCGACCTGTTTATGATATAAGAGCAGTGGTGACACTCGGTTCTTTCTACCGTCTTACATCTCCTGCACACATGATCTCTCTCGCCTCCATTATCACGTCTTTACAAGCAGACAAAAGATCTGCTGGGTGGAAAACTCCGGAGAAGATAGTAGGAGTGTGTCACCAGTGGAGTTAATTTGACTGGGAGTCAGTGACACAGTAGAACTGTAAAGTCAAAAATAGAGACGCTGCTAAAAAAGAATAAAGATGAGGATGAATAAAACAACTTATAATCATGAGAAATATAAATATTATTAAACAACTTCTCTAATCTACTCTCTTCTCTTTCAGAACAACGACCCTTTGACCCTCAGTTACCATGGTTACCCATCTCATAGTCAGGTAAGGACACAGCTGCATATCGAATGCATCCAAAAACCCATCTTTAATAATATCTTGCTCTCTGTTTCTTCCCTATCTCAACACAGTGTTCATGTAACAGCAATATGGCTCAGTGAAGCTCTGTAAACCACAAGGTGGGGGTGTAGATTGTAATTTATCAGTTCTGTAGAAGAAGACTCCTCCACACCCTTCACTTTTCCAATCAAACCCTCCCACTACTTTTTTCTGTACACAACAATCAGCAATATCATTAGTTATTTTTAGCTTGTGATTTTTACCTTTTTGTTCTTTTATCACCTTTAAACCTGTAAATATTTTAGCTTTCTACCCACAAAGACAAATGCACACCTAAATGAAAATAACAAGCTGTGTTATAGTGTGTGTGTGTGTGTGTGTGTGTGTGTGTGTGTGTGTGTGTGTGTGTGTGTGTGTGTGTGTGCAAGGCTACAAAATGTTTACTGCTGTATTAGCCTGCTGATTGAGAGTTTTCAGTTTATATGGTTAATCCTTAGATCATCCTTCACTCATCCACTCATCCTCTCATGTTCTTACCATAATCCCCTCGTCCCTCGCTCTATGTGATGCCCAACAACCTCTGGCTGCTTATCCACACTTTATCTGTCTTAAGCCTTCCCTTGTACACTCATATTTGCTTCAGTATAAGAGATTTCTTTCCTGGGTTGGCTGTTGTACTGGATATTGCGGAAGCCTGGAAGCCAATTAGCCAGTTTTCATTTTAATGTAAGATGAAACCGCTTTGAGCCATTTCCTTCCCTAATGATAATGTTTGAAAAATAACCACAAAATGTTGCATTATGTGAGCATGTTGGGATGGAAAGAAGTCAGTGAAAGACTACTTCAGGGACTTGGAAGTGTGGACTGTCCGCTTACTGGGATAAAAAGGCAGACAGGAAGAAAACAACACTGGGCAGCAGAGGCTCCCACAGCACTGAGGTGCTAAACTGTCAACAGGAGTGTGAGAATGATGTGATCAAAGGCTCCTGAAAGGAAGAGCCTTGAGAACAGCAGAGGAGTCATGTGTGCTGAGAGAGACAGGCCCATTTCAAACATGGCATGTGAGACTTTGCTGCCTTTTTTTTCTG